TTCTTGAATTAATATGTGATTTCAGATCTCATACGAATCATCAATTTTAGTTAATTAATTTCGTTTGATATAATATACTTAGTTTATTCTTTCTGGACAAGTCAATGGTCATTTTCTATACAGTCTTACATAGTTACAGTTACATGTACTACTGAGTCATAGTCGTGTGTGGCACATCAATTAACTTGTGGCACATCAATTAACTCGCTGAGATGTTGGGATTCTTTTATATATAATCAGAATGTATAGACAAAAAATCATCTTCAATCATTTGCCCTATTTTTTTCCCATTAATTACTAACGCGTGAGGATTTGGATATACGAGTATTTGTGGCTGCTCGAGGGGAAAATATGATCGGTTAGAAGTTAACATCATTCTAGGTGAGGATTGCCCAAACTTAAATTGAATTAATTAGTGCATAACTGTAGTCGATCTCTTTTAAGACTCAACGTTTACAAGTGACCTAATTTTTAAGCAAAAAAAAAACAGTGACCTTAATTCAGATTCATTGTGATCTTCATGGTGATATATACACAGAAGTTTTCGCAAATACTTCATGGGAAGTAACGTTATACGAACCTTGAGAAGACAAATACACTGACATATAGTAGTGGACAAATTAAGAGAAACATGTCGTTGTGCCTAGATTTTGACAGTTTTCATGCACACGCATAGGTTACATATGTGTGTGTTGTATGTTTGTATTAAAAACACAAATAATTCCGCAATTCTCAAAGGCAAACCTTAAAAGAATAGTGAGCTTGTTGGTCACACCATCAAACAAAAACAATGTAGTATTAGGTTGCAAAATAACAGTGGTAAAAGAGCGACAAAAAAAACAGAGTAAAAGAGTTGAAAACTATTACTCATAAAATCTAAAAGAGAAGATAAGAAAAAATACATTAATAAAATAAAGACTAAAGGAACAATTTGATTGACACCAAAAGGACAAGAAATGGAATAAGAAGGGACCATCACTGCCATTTTCACAACTCCCTTTGTGGTCTCACTCTCCCATTACTCATGACAAACAATCAAATTTATTTGTTTCTTTCTCATCGACTTTATTCTTTAAAACTTCATAACAAATAGAAGCATCATAACAAATATAGAGTTAAGAATGAACAAAACTTTCATCTAGTTTCCTCATTTTATCCTGTCCGTTCCCAATCATGACATGGTTTTAATTACCAATTTAAAACGAAACATGACCAACAAGAACAGATACTCTATGTTCTAACTATGAAACTTATTCTTTTATTTATGCTAATTTTCGTTTTCATGCTAATGTAAAATGCTGACATTCGTCTAAATCGGAGCAACGCAACTGAAAAATAAGAGTAAGTAAGGCTAATACTGCTAGTTTCCGATTTTAGAGTCTGGCTCTTGTCTAAAATTTAATTAAAAAAATTTGTGAGTGATTTAACTTTCTTTTTAAAAAAAATTATCGTGGATAGCAGTACGAAGACGGACGTTAATGCTAACGATATTTATTGGCTGAATGAAAAAGTTTTTCATTTTATTATCTTAAACCACTAATTAGTCACTACAGAAAAAAAGAATCAGTAAAAAAAAAATGTAATTCCGGCAACTTTTAAAAACTCATGAGGCATAATGGTGTGCAGAATTTCATACGACGAGGATTGATGGATATGAAACCATATGGTATATTGATAAGACAATAGATCAAACCTACGTGGCTATGAGCCTATATTATGAGTCCTTGTAATAGCTTTTGGCTAATCAAAGCTTTTTTCTCTCCTTTAAACAAAGTGGTGACTTTTATCTCTTTCAATGGGGGTTTCTAAACATAGGTTTCTTAAATAAAATTAAAATGTAAGTATAGATAAATAATATTTTTTAATTATGGATACTTTAAATTTGGAGAAACTTAGTCCAATTGTTTCTTAAATTGGACTAAGTTTCTCCAAATTTAAGATACCCATCTAATATTTAAATAATATATATTTTCTATTATTTATTAAGAATTATGTTTAGAAACATCATTGAGGTTGCTCTAACAATTTGCAATTGCACTACATATAAATCAAATCAAACCTAACTCTTATTTTATCGAATCTGGATGATTACTCATGATTTTTCATATATCAGTATATCACGTACTTAAATTAGAGACCAAACCCGATGAAAGCTTTTTTCAGTAATAAATGAAATTTTGATACTTTTGTATGAAAACAGAATCTGGAAAATAACGTTGTTATAGTCAGGTACAATATGAAACTGAAACCTATTACGACAGATATAACAGATCATTGCAAAAAATAATAATTTGTATTTTATTACCACGAGTTTGTATCTAATCATATATATATATTGGTTTTCGTCAAAAACAATTGTGTAAACATTTATTTTTGCAACTGATCATTCATAGCAAGTAAATTAGTCTCTAAAAAAATGTAAATTAGTCTCTTTTGTGGCTCCGAAATGACTCAAACCCAAAACATGATCATGCTTTCTCCAAGAGCTTTCCAAAATACTCCTTTCAGCTCATAATAAACACACTACATAGATAAGTCTTTGGTTTTAAGATGCGAAAACAAAAAATCAATCAAAAATATTCGATACTATGATCATGAGTGTTTACGAGGTCGAGAAACGAGAAACGTGTCAAAATAAAATGGAGAAACTAATAAATATGTTGAAGGTTAGACAATTGACACCATTGGAGATATTATAAAGCAGAGCAAAAAGGATCCATTACAAGTTGGCTTTGGTGGGTAAAGAGTATAAATGCCTAAAGAAGAAGATCCTCTCCACACGTACGAACAAAAAGGAAGGTTCGGCACGTAACGGCTGGTTGTGCATACGTGTGAAGGGAGGGTGGGATTCACGTGAGAGATTCACCCGATCAAACATTTATATTTTTAAGAAATCGAACCATTTCTGTTTCACAAAGGAAAATTAAAAAACGAGAGAAATATCGGTAGGAAGGTAGAAGGTTGAGCTGTCAATTGTCATTCCAGGTTTTGTAGTTACCATTTTCAATAAAACTATAAACGTATTTTTATGAAATTTTACGTTTCTTCTTTCTTTAATTTCCCCGTTTCAAGGGAATTGTAAAAAACAGAGTAAAAAAAAAACATAATTTACGTGCTGATATGATTTTGACATGATAGATTCCCAGATGGTGTCACACAATAAACAGAATTCAATGTTATTATATAAGTGGAGTTACACTTTTGCTTTCGACATTTCCATTAATTATTTATCCAATTATGGACTTACACCTACGGTGCGATAACTAATGTTTTCTCTAACCGTTTGTGGGATATGCACCAAAACTCGAATTTGGGAATGCTATTTTTTAGTAAGACATACGTGATACGAAATATGTCGTCACTTTAAGAAAGAAATCCCGATATCTATATATTAACTATGGAATTAATATTAGAGACTACTAAGAGCAATACCAAAAAAAGAAGCTCAAGTACTCGATCTCAAAGCTGTTGAACCAAAAAACGGTTATGTGTCGTGTCGATTTCATCGGTTTTCTAGATTATCCCCACACACACAAACCTAATTAACATTCTGAGCACTTGACTTCTGAACCTTCCTCCTACCTTTCACACGTTCCAAACCACAAGTCCCACTCGTGCGAACTCTCATCTTTTATTGTTTATTTGATACACCAAACAAAAAATGCACACCGAATTTCATTACATTATCCTCCAAACCATTCATAGTTACATCGTACTCGAGCCTCAAGTAGTAAAATTTAAGTTATGCTTACAAGATCGATGGTCGGAAAAAATAGTTTGGATATATATATATATGTTCTAGCCTTTGCATTTTTTGCATCGTATTAATTCGGCCAGGCTAATTTTTCAAAATACATCTTACATTTTGTTAACATTGTATTAGTATATGTACGTTGGATATTATGTGATCACTATACAGTGATTATACGTAACTAATTTGTCATTTCATTGAAAAGTCGATTGTAAGTGATTAGCTTGTGGTTAGAACTTAAAATCAGTTGATTATATGACACTAATTTGATGTGGTGAAGTGATTACGACAGTCGAGGTGACCTTTAGAGAGACATATTGTCGTTATAAGGAAAGTAAATTTAATCTTGATATAGCCGTAAAAAATCTTTAACAAACAGAAATATTTACTGATTCATTATGACTGTTTTGCGAAGAAATTTTATGGTATTCCAAGTAAAGATCATACTATCATAAGCTACATTTAAAATAAATTACTTTAAATTATGCTGATTGATACTAAGGTCTTAAGTCCTATGTAGTATAAAATTATGAGGACTGGGGGAACTACGCACCAACAGACCAGTTACGTGTATATGACTTAATTGACCCTATCTGCGAGTTAGTTCAGTGTTATCAGAAAATGACAGATGAGGGTATTATGGGAATAGAATTATGGTAGTATTTTAGTTTTTATTTTTTTGTTGGTCACGATAGTATTACTAATATTTATGGTGGTGGTTCGTATCATTTTTTTTTTTTGGTGGGAGTGGTGGTTCGTATCATTGAGATATGACCTTGTACTCACTTTTTTTTTTTTTTTAATCAGGGAAATATAATTATGACCGACATTTACGTGAAAAAAGACAGCATCTTAAAATTCCTATCCTACTTATCCTTTTTTACTATAAAAATATTTCATAGAAACCATAGTTAAAAAGAAGAAAAATCACCGGATTTTGTTTTTGCACGAACAGCTTCTTTTTTTTTAATAAAGAAGATTGGTGGGCTAAAAAGGGTGGCGAAGAAGAAAGAAGAGTGATCTCTCTCTCTTTCATATTTTTCTTTCCAATATATATATATATATATATATATATATATATATATATATATATATATATATATATCTTTTATTATATTTGTGAAATCCTGAATAAACTCTTAGTAACAAATGAAAAGGAGAGTCCAGAAAAAGAAAGCGAGAGAGAGAGAAAACGATACCTAAGCTCAATTATCTTCTCTGCAACAAACTCCGAAGGTATTCTCTCTTCTTCTGCTTTCTCTTGCATACATACATATATATAGATACCTACATCTCTATATGGGGTTGTTCATCAGTTATAGATGATGTAAAAAAACAGCGTAAGACCTAGTTGACTCTCTTTCTGAGTTATGTTTAAAATTCTTTATCTGAATCATTACAGGATCCGAGAGAGAGAGTGAGCTCTGGAAAGATATGTATAAATATATCATGAAGAAGAAGATTGAAGTATTGATATGGGAATAGCTAAAACTTCTCCTACTACTACAACTCTCTTGAAGACTCTTCACAATAATTCTATGTCCCAAGATTATCACCAAGGAGGAATCTTCAACTTCTCTAATGGATTCGACCGATCAGATTCTCCCAATTTAACAACTCAGCAGAAGCAAGAGCATCAAAGGGTAGAGATGGACGAGGAACCCTCAGTGGCCGGAGGTAGGATTCCGGTCTACGAATCTGCCGGAATGTTATCCGAGATGTTTAATTTCCCCGGAAGCAGTGGTGGAGGAAGAGATCTCGACCATGGCCAATCTTTCCGGTCAAATAGGCAGTTGCTTGAGGAGCAACATCAGAATATTCCGGCCATGAATGCTACGGATTCGGCCACCGCCACCGCGGCCGCCATGCAGTTATTCTTGATGAATCCACCGCCACCGCAACAACCACCGTCTCCTTCATCCACCACCACCACAAGGAGCCATCCCAATTCTTCAACGCTTCACATGTTACTTCCAAATCCATCCACCAACACAACTCACCATCAAGGCTACACTAATCATATGTCTATGCATCAGCTTCCACATCAGCATCACCAACAGATGACGTGGCAGTACTCTTCCTCCTCCGATCATCATCATCACAACAACAGCCAAACCGAAATCGGGACCGTCCACGTGGAAAACAGCGGAGGACAAGGCTTGTCCTTATCTCTCTCATCGTCTTTAGAGGCTGCAGCAAAAGCGGAAGAGTATAGAAACATTTACTACGGAGCCAATTCTTCTAACGCATCACCTCATCATCAATACAATCATTTCAAGACTCTTCTTGCTAATTCTTCTCAACATCAACATCAAGTATTAAACCAATTCCGATCATCTCCGGCGGCTTCTTCCTCTTCCATCGGAGCGGTCAATATCTTAAGAAACTCGAGGTACACAACGGCCGCACAAGAGTTGTTGGAAGAATTTTGTAGTGTTGGAAGAGAATTTTTAAAGAAGAACAAACATGGGAACAGCTCAAACCCTAATACTAGCGGTGGCGATGGCGGTGGTGGCAGCTCTCCTCCGTCAGCCGGAGCAGTAAAGGATCATCCTCCTTTATCGGCGTCTGATCGGATTGAGCATCAAAGAAGGAAAGTGAAACTACTCACCATGCTTGAAGAGGTATGTTCGTATTAATTTTTCACTTTTAATATTGATTTTGTCTATAGTGATATTCGTTCATACATTTTACGTAAAATTGTTTTCGTGACATTTAGATAAGATTCATGAATTGATCCAAAAGTTATGACAAAGAAACAAGAAACCTGATATGACTGAATTGGTGTTTTGTTTTCTCGATTAGCTAGTTATTTTTGATTAGTTTGGTAGAGTTTGATTACGCAATCCTACCATCATTTATTTAAAATTAAAATTTAAAATTTTAATCATTTTGCTCGTGTGGCGGTCGCATTAGAAAGTATATTGAATATTTTGATGCTTAGCGTTTGGTGGAATCGATTAATCAAAGAAAAATGAATTAAATAATTACGATTAATTATGTAATTGGCGTTTCCTTCTCCATATAAGCTACTCTCCTTACGTCCTAAAGCTAACCCTTGACGTTACTTGTTTACCCATAATTGAATTATTCTATTTTTTAGTTGACTTGCTTTTTTCCTCACCAAAAATAAATATTTTATTTTGTCCTCGAGGATATGATAAAATGTTCTGTTGGTAGGATTACGAAAACATTAGTATATTCTCTGGTCCTTAATTTGTCTATAATATCTTATTTTCTTATTGGCTCGTTCGAACGTATTACTAATTACTAATTACTCTCATTTGTTTATTTATTACTCGTACACAAGCATACGTCCCCGTGATAAAATCTCTACACCAATATTAATCACGTGAATATATAACACACGAACATAAATTTAAAAGAAAAAAGCAAATATTGAATATTAATGGATTGTATAATGTTTAGTTTTTCTTTCGTTGGCAGGTGGACCGACGGTACAACCATTACTGCGAGCAAATGCAGATGGTTGTGAATTCTTTCGACATAGTAATGGGCCACGGTGCGGCGTTACCGTACACCGCATTGGCTCAAAAAGCTATGTCAAGGCATTTTCGATGCCTTAAAGATGCTGTTGCGGCTCAGCTTAAGCAGAGTTGCGAACTTCTTGGGGACAAAGATGCAGCCGGGATATCTTCTTCCGGATTAACTAAAGGCGAAACTCCGTGGTTGCGTTTGTTAGAACAGAGTTTGCGTCAGCAACGTGCGTTTCATCAAATGGGTATGATGGAACAAGAAGCGTGGCGGCCACAACGCGGTTTGCCTGAACGCTCCGTTAATATACTTAGAGCTTGGCTCTTCGAGCATTTCCTTCACCCGTAAGTCATATTTTTTCTTTCTCATTATTCATTATGAATAAAGAAATTGAATTTTGAAAAAAAGCTGAGAAAAAATACTTCTTTTCTCGTTATTTCACCACTACTTTCTTTAGTACTATGTCTCTAGAATTTTGCTATTTTATTGTTAACGAGAGTTAACGAAAAAATGGAAATAAAGCAAAAGAGTAGTGTTTTTGTACTATTTTTCACCTCTCTGACAATTGCTTTAAGAGTAAAACAAAACAAAAAAAAGCTAAGTAAAAAAAAAAAAAACTGGATCTATGATATGTAATCATCAGCTTTTCTTTTGTCTGTTAGATTCTCACGCCCTTGTTAAGAAAAAGTCTGTACTTTTTCTTGCGTCTACTTGATTGTATTGTATATAGTGAAAAGATAAAGAAAAGAAATTAGATTGAGTTTATTAGGGCAAAGATAGAGAGTGATGTCATTTTCTGGTCTCTTTCTCAGGTATCCAAGTGATGCAGATAAACACCTCTTGGCTCGACAGACTGGTTTATCCAGAAATCAGGTCAGTCTATACATATATACATTTAAATACAATAAAGTATCTCCATGAATCAAATACATGTCTCTCTTTAACCAAGTTGTGTTAGCTGAGTATACTATTAATCAGTCAATCTAATGATCACAGTCTGGATTACGAATTCTTAACCTTGTGTTTTAAAGATTTTTGTTTAAACCCATGATTCTATGTTTATAAACAAACTCCTTAATAGTACACATTTATAGAAATACAATAGTAATTTATCAACCAAATCCATGTAGCATTATTTGATAATTTTCATAAACATAAGCTTGATATATTTAACATCAAATTTTTCACCCTAGCCAAAATTATTTGACACCATGGACGAGTACACTAGTAACTAGCCTGAGATGGTTATGGTTTTTGTTTCTTTCCTTTGTTTGGTTTGATATGACAGAGGAACACCATGTGTTTTGCTTTCCACTCACCATTAGCTTTTCTTGGGATTCGTCTTTAAATTATTATAGCATATTTTTATATACACAAACATAGGAGAGAGGGAAAGAGATCGACATTAAAGACTCAAAAGGGTCCATTTTCCCTCAAGTACATCAAAGTTTGCAGCTTTCATTTATCCCGAAGAAACCCTTATTTTCTTGTATCCCTACATTTAATAACCAAATGACAAATAAACAAAAAAAGCCATCAATTTCTTTCGATATTATTATTATTCAATTGGCCGGTGAAAAATTGACTTTTTTTTTTTTATTCAGGTGTCAAATTGGTTCATAAATGCTAGGGTTCGTTTATGGAAACCCATGGTGGAAGAAATGTATCAACAAGAATCAAAAGAAAGAGAAAGAGAAAGAGAAGAGGAATTAGAAGAGAACGAAGAAGATCAAGAAACAAAAAACAGCAACAACGACAAGAGCACAAAATCCAACAACGATGAAAGCAACTTCACTGCCGCTCGGACCACTTCACAAACTCCAACGACAACCGCACCAGACGCAGCAGTAGCGACAGGCCACCGTCTAAGATCCGACATTAATGCTTACGAAAGCGACCCTTCATCAATTCTACTCCCTTCCTCTTATTCCAACGCCGCCGCTTCTGCCGCTGTTTCTGACGACTTGAATTCTCGTTACGGTGGCTCAGCCGCGTTTTCCGCCGTTGCCACGTGTCAACAAGGTGTTGGCGGGTTCGATGATGCTGACATGGATGGGGTTAATGTTATAAGGTTTGGGACAAACCCTACTGGTGACGTGTCACTCACGCTTGGTTTACGCCACGCTGGAAACATGCCTGACAAGGACGCTTCTTTTTGCGTTAGAGAGTTTGGGGGTTTTTAGTTTGCTTTTGTCACTCCATTTAATTAATTAATTAATTATAGTTTCCATTTTTACTTTTTTAAAAAAAACATTGAAAATCTATTTAGTCTCTTAAAAGTCAAAAACAATACATTAAACTTTAAACTTTAAAGTTTAGCCCTCTCCAATTAATGTACATTGTACAACTTATTGTTTTCATATATTATCTGTATTCTTGGTTATTTATTTTCTCAAGATTTCTTTATTTGTTCAAAACCTTCACTTTAGTTGATTATTTGTCTTATACTGTACTGATACATATACGCCCAAACATCGTTCGAAATCACTGATTTACAATACAACTAGATCCAGACCCGCACATACGTGCGGGTTGTGATTTTGAATCAATAAGATTTACATAAAGTTGTAATTTAAATGTATTGTTTTGTTTTATGTAATTAATAGTGAAAATATCAATCTTTAAAATAAACTTTGTTACACACATTGATTTTCAGTTTGATTAATTATACATTTTGCAGAAATTAAAAGTGTATTTACTAAAAGATGTAACACTTATCATAATAGAAAAGTGTTATACAATAAAATAAATAGTTTGTTTTAGTGCAAAACAAATAATTTGAACAGTATTATTTTAAATGAATTTTATTTTTCTTTTTTGTTTGTAACATAATTGAGGTGTTTAATACTAAGTTACTAACAATAGAAAGGTAAAATTTCAAAATATAGAATACTATATTTAAAATGTTTAAAATTAATATACATATATTAAAAATTAATTTGAAATGTTTAAAAGTAATATACACTTAGCATAAGGTGTTTAATACTAAAGTCAAAGTTTAATTTCGTGGGCCATTACCTGAAACAGAAATATTTTGTTATGGGTCACCCAACATATTGACATGGACCGAAATTGATTTTCTTATAGATTTTGTTGTTTTGTTTTTAGTAGTATAGATAAAATTTATTTGCATTATCTGAACAGATAATGGTTGTTTGAACAATTGATGTCTGAAATTTTTTAAAAAAATACAGATCTAAAAAAAATCTTTGCAATGGCATTTTTCGTAATTAATCTACCAAAATAAGGTTACTTATGTTTGAGTGATTCCCAATTAATAATATAGATTAATCACAAAAAAAAAGTACAATTAATCACATAATTCACTTATATACAAGCTTGTAGAGTTGCCGCAAGTTTTGGGCCATTAATAAGAAAAGTAATAGGCCTGACACTTCGGCATATCTGTTTTATATTCTATATATACAAGTTTCTATCAATGAGAATCTCATTACGAGATAATAATACATATGCTTATAGGAGAATTCTCTATATATTAAGAAAAAAAAGTTAGATATGTGGGAATTCAACTAAGGATCATAAATACAAACAATATATTAATCTCTTATAGTAAGTAACAGGTCATTATGAAGATTATAAAAAAAAAATAGTAACAGATCATTATTAAGAATACAGGTAATTAATGAGAACATTTGTCCTCCTATTCACATAATCCTTTTATTTTTATATTGGAAAGAACACAAAACTAAACATTATTACTATCATTCTAGTTATTATTTTTCTTTATAAATTCATTCATAAATTTACACATCCGGCCAATATGGTTCGTATTTTTTGTATGTGGCATTATTCGACCTTAATTTTGTAAAATATCATGGTATATGACTATGTTCATGCAAGTTTTTATGAAGTTCTCACTGATATTTCTAGATAGGACTAAAATAAATTTATGTACATGCGGCTTAAACATTATCGAACACCGCAGTAGAGTTTAACCACCAAGTTCGGGATGGATTGGTGTTGTTCCTCTACGCCTAGGACACCAGAATATCGAACCATGAACGAAGAAATTAAAGGCATGCGAGAAAAGCATATTGGCTAGTGATTGTGAGGCTCCAATTCTTGACTGGAGTAGACACCAAAGGCCTCTGCCCCCATCCTTTGGATAGAAGGGCAGAAAATTTGAATTGCTTAGACTATCTAACTAGGTACAAAAGTCGTGTAATCACTCAGAAAAGTTGAATCTATTATGTTGCATGAATAATTTGAAGAATGAGTTATAAGTTATATAACTCATAACATTTGTATAATAGTTTTTTTTGTTCAAACATTTCTATAATAGTTCTGTTGATACTGGTTAGTGGTTTAGTAGTCCTCACTAAACAACTACTAATAACTCTAGTCGACCAAAGCACCATATAACTGATATAGTCAGAAATAACTGAGAATCAAAAGTTGTAGCGACATGTCAAAAACACTTCTAATATGTAGAGGGTATGTACGTATTATGAGTTCACTTTCATATATGAGCCCTACTAATTAGCAAAATGATTCATAAAATCACTGAAAGTTCTTGTCCATCTCTAGAATAAATAAATAAATATACATTGTATATAAAAAACTCGTACAGTCTTACTCCATGAATAGTTTCTAATATGTTTTATGCACTTAAAGAAGAACAAATGTACCTTGTCTTGGCTGTATCCTGTATTTATGTTTCTTGTTCTTCTATAGCAGAAAGAAACGATCACTTTCAGAAAATTTCGATTTGCTTCACTGGTAGTTGGAGAATCAAACCCAAAAAAAAAAATGGTGGTTGAATAATTGAAGAAGATAAAGTGGTGGTGAAAAAAAAAAAAAAAAAAAAAAAAGGAGTTGGTGTGCTGTCAAAAAAGGAGTGTAGTTATTCTGCTATATATAAGTTCTGTGTACAAACTTTGAGTCTTCCTCTAAACAAAACCACCCTTGAGATTCTGGTTCGAATGTTTTTAGATTAGCAGCACAACACGTAAGCTTAGCTACTTAGCTCTAAATACAAAAAACATTTTAGTCTCGAAGCTCCATGCATGCTTTATCTTAGGTTTGAGCGGGAACCAAAAATTAATAATTTAGTTACAGGGAGATAGGATTCAAAGACAAAAACAATGCAGAGACAAAGTCACAAACGTTCGAAGAGGTTGCCATTTTCTTCTGTTTCATTTTGACTTAAAGTAGGCTATCAAAATGTTTTAGCTTTTAGGGTTTAGGAAAAAAGGATTGAGACTTTGTAGAAAAATGAGTTTTAAATTAAATAGGATATTTGATTTTTCTGTTTATTGATTCTGATTAAATTTCTTATCAATGTTCTGTTCTTAAATGTGCTAATTGATTCTTTGGCTGCAGTTATCCAGGAAACAAAAGAGTTGAGGATGATCACATAAGTTGTTTATCTCTCAGTAATGGTTTTGTCAAACCGGAGAAGAAACTATCACCTAATATTATAAAAGTCCAAAGCTCTCTTAAACAAGAGGTTGGATAGCTATACTTCTCTCTGCAACCGTTTTCAGATCACATGATTCACTCACTTTGGTCGTCCTTTTTGGTTATGCAGATCATAGAACTTGAGGAAAGATTACAGAGTCAGTTTGATGTTCGTAACGATTTAGAAAATGCGTTGGGTTATAGAGAAACTTTTCAAGACGACAATATCTTCACTCCCAAGGTACTTACTACTACTCAGTTCTTATGTGCAAAAAGTTGATTTTGGCTCTTTTTCACTTTCGATGTGTCATTCCTAACACGTCTCTTTGAGAATCTGAGATGATGGTTTTTATCAGTTATATTCGTTTTGATGATAACTTAATGTTGGATGTTATATATGCAGCCTGCAACAGAATTAATCAAGGAAACTGCGATACTCGAGTTAGAAGTTTCGAATTTGGAACAGTACCTTTTATCGCTATATTGAAAAGCTTTTGATCAACAAGCATCAGTATATGTATCTCCATCATCAAAAAAGCAGAGCTTAATTTCACCAAAAGCAACTCTTAGAAGTAAATGTCTAGACTTCTCAAGAAGATATGATGAACTGCCTAAACATGAGGATCAAGGAATCGAATATCGGTGTTTCTCCTTCGACAACAGATTCAACGATCCAGATTCAACCGAGAGTGACATAGGTTCTAGTGTTCGCCGATGCCAATCTTTGCTTAATCAACGGTCCATTTTCATCAGTAACAGACTTTCTCCACCAGAAGAGTCCATAAAGGAAGTAAGTATGGTTTCTCTCTTTTGTAATGGCATTGTCGTTTACCAAGTTTTTAACTTTATTGTTTTGGTTACTTCACCAAGCAGTACATAAAGAACAGATCAAGTATCGGTATTCGGATATCCCATCACATACCTATAATGACTCCAAACAAATTATCAGAGGAGATGATCAAGTATGCGTCGACTATGTACATCAAACTTGCAGACACTCCGTTACTTTCTTCGATAAGCAAGTTGTGGAGTCCAAGCTTCAGGAAATACTCTGTTTTTGATGACCAATTCGAATCAAGTGGACCATACAGCTTGATGATCAAAGTGTCACATATTAAAAGGCAAGGACATGACTTTGAGCTGATGCTTCGACATTTCAGGTCAGCAACTAGTAAAAAACACACAGATTTGCTTTGCTTACTTTGTGTCCTGTTTATGGACATTGGTTTACAATTTACACAGATTGCTTGTTAAACAATTAGAAGATGTTGATCAGAGCAAGTTGACCGATCAAGAGAAACTTGCGTTTTGGATTAATATACATAACTCACTTGTGATGCACGTAAGGGCTTTTTTTTTTTGGCCTTTCTTCTTCTTTTTAATCTTTCTAACTTGTGATTTGTGAATTTCTCTGAACTTAAGACTGCTTTTTGTGTTTCTGCCAGACATTTCTGGTTAATGGGATTCCAAAGAACAACGGGAAGAGATTCTTGCTACTCTCTAAGGTAACAAAAGAACAATTCAAAAAACAGAAACCTAAACAAAACCTGAGAAAATGCTCTTGAATTTTCTGATTCAATGCCTAAATTTTGCAGCCAGCTTACAACATAGGAGGTCGTGTGATGAGCATAGAAATATTGCAAAATTCTATTCTTCTCAGCCGAATGCAAGGACATGACTTTGAGCTGATCCTAACAGTGGTTGCGGTTGTTACTCACCTCAAATTTGTTACCACAATCCTAACAAATTTGTCACAATGTGATTTGTTTTGTGAAGAAACCTATTAAAAAAAAGCTCTCTCCCTGCTTACAGTGGTTGCGGTTGTTACTCACCTCAAAAAAGCTTAGAACCGGATATGAGTACGGAGCATAATCACTCTCGAGCATCCTGAGCCTTTGTTGTACTTTGCTCTCTGTTCCGGAAATTACTCTGATCCCCCGGTACTTCATCTCATCCTCTCTACATATATCTATGCACCACCACACACAAATATAAGTACATTTATTAGACCCTTACTGGACTAATTCTACATCTTCTGCGTCATAGATTCGAGTATATACGCCAGAGAGTGTATACCTAGAGCTGGAAACCGCAAAAGAAGAAAACATTCGCACAACAATTGGGTTCAGAAATAACCATAAACCATCTTACCAAAGATCATAGAGTCTTTCAGCAAAGACTTGGGTTTGAATCAAGTTGCATTGATGGAGAAGATCCAAGAATGTCTCCCGGAACCCATGAGGAAAACAATCAAGAAACTCAATATGGGGAGATCCCGAAAGAGTATCATAGAATGGATCCCACACAATTTCGGTTTCCGGTATCTGATAGCTAAAGAACTCATCAAATGAAGAAGTTTACCGGTATTTGCAGGAAAGTCTGTTCAGGATTTTGATAGATAAATCTTACATAGCCAAGATGCGACCGAAGAAGAAGGTAGTACTATTCAGGATTTTGATATTGAGCCTATGAAGATTGAGATGGAATCAACCAAGGAGAGGAGAGTGTCTCACATGGCTGCAAAGCTTCTTCTTTAAAGATATCTGATTTGTTAGAAAATACTGCACATGTAACTCCATTTCCTAGTCAGATTTTATATTGATGCTCCAAAAAGTATATCTAAATTTTGTTTTATTTTATTTTGATCTTAAGAAAACAAATTTATTTTGTGGAATCGCTAATGATCACAAGAATGAATGATCCAAAATCTGGTTAATTTTCATATATCATTATATAAATTTAGTTACAAAACTATTTAAAAAAAAAAAGTTTGAATGCAAAATCTACATATAACGAGTTGAATTTTTGGAATCACTAATAATCAATGACTTTGATCCGGTTAGTTTTTTTTTATCATTATGTAGATTTAGTATCAAAACAATAAAATTAATAAAACAAACACAAGAAAAAAGCTTTTAAACATCCGAATAGAAAATATCAAAATTTTAAAAACTATTTTAAAATTTCGAATTAAAAACTTGAATACTAAAATCTACATAACAATGATGTGAAAACAAGTTGAATTTGTTGATCTCTAACGACTAATGCGGGATCCAAAATCCGGTTAGTTTCATATATCATTATATATATATAGTATCAAACAATAGAATTAAAACAAACAAACACAAAAAAAAGTTTTCAAAGTCCGAAAAGAAAAAGAAATCACTATTTAAAAAACTTGGATACTAAATCTACATAATGATACGAAAAACAAATTGAATATTTGGAATCTCCAATGACTAATGCGAGATCCAAAATCCGGTTAGTTTTCATATATCATAATATATTTTAATATCAAACAATAAAATTGAAAAAAAAAACACAAAAAGAAAATTTAAAAATCCAATTTAAAAAGTTGAATACTAAATCTACGTAATGATAGAAAAAAAAAACAATCTGAATGCTTAGAATCTCTAACGACTAATGTTGGATCCAAAATCCGATTAGTTTTCATATCATTATGTAAATTTAGTATCAATAAAAAAAATTTTAAAAACAAACACAAGAGAAAAGTTTTAAAAAATCCGAAAAGAAACAAAATCAAAATTTAAAAAAACTATTTTTAAAAATCCGATTTAAAACTTGAATGCTAAATCTACATAATAATAGGAAAAACAAGTTGAATGTTTGGAATCGCTAACGACATAATGCTGGGATCCAAGATCCGGTGAGTTTTCATATCATTATGTAAATTTAGTATCAATCAAAAAAATTTTAAAAACAAAAACAAGAAAAAAATTAAAAATCCGAAAAGAAACAAACTCAAAATTTTTAAAACTACTTTTAAGAATCCGATTTAAAAACTTGAATGCTAAATCTACATAATAATAGGAAAAACAAGTTGAATGTTTGGAATCGCTAACGACATAATGCTGGATCCAAAATCCGGTTAGTTTTCGTATCATTATTTAAATTTAGTATCAATAAAAAAAAATTAAAAATCCGAAAAAACTTTTAAAAAACAAATACAAGAAAAAAAAAATTAAAAAATCCGAAAAGAAACAAACTCAAAATTTTTAAAAACTATTTTAAAAAATCCTAATTAAAAACTTGAATGCTAAATCTACATAATAATAGGAAAAACAAGTTGAATGTTTGGAATCGCTAACGACATAATGCTGGATCCAAAATCCGGTTAGTTTTCGTATCATTATTTAAATTTAGTATCAATAAAAAAAAATTAAAAATCCGAAAAAACTTTTAAAAAACAAATACAAGAAAAAAAAAATTAAAAATCCGAAAAGAAACAAACTCAAAATTTTTAAAAACTATTTTAAAAAATCCTAATTAAAAACTTGAATGCTAAATCTACATAATAATAGGAAAAACAAGTTGAATGTTTGGAATCGCTAACGACATAATGCTGGATCCAAAATCCGGTTAGTTTTCGTATCATTATTTAAATTTAGTATCGTTAAAAAAAAAATTAAAAAAAAAACAAACACAAGAAAAAAAATTAAAAAGGGTTAGAAATTGACCTTTCTTATGGGCTGAAATTAATTTTTCTTTAGTTGTGCAAAAGGGCTTTGATGATATCATCAATCCAACCCCTTTAATCTCCACCGGAAACGCAAGCCATCACCGTCGTCGATGGCTGCTGCTCGCCGGAGAGAAGCTTCAATGAAAAACACAACTTCTCTGTAAAAGCAAAGCCACGTCCTCAATCTTCTGCTCCCTCTATCGCCATCTCCGTCGTCGCTGGATAGACGCTCCAATATCATGATTCCTCGCCTGAAATCGACATCATCTTCAATCACGATCTTCTGTTCTTTGGTTGTCGAAGAGCAGCGACAAAGAAAACGTCGAACAATTTGGAGTCAAAGATGGATCAAACAACTCATGAAATTCGAAGAGATAAAAGAGGTAAACGAAGTAGAAATTGAAGAATAGAATCATCGTAAGCAAATTGGGCATGAAATCGAAGAATAGAATCTATAACTCTCTCTCTTTCTCTCTCTCTCTCTCTCTCTCTCTCTCTCTCTCTCTTTGTTTCTCTGGGTTTGTGAATTGTGATGATATTTAAAACGTTTGTGATGTATATATAGATTTTCTTGTAATCAAAGTTTCCATTTTTTTTGGAATTCAAAGTTTCCTTTTTTTTACTCTTTTCAAAATTTCCTTTTTTTTTTGTGAGTCTTTTGTGTTGATTTTTCTCTTAACTGTTTTGTGTTTGTTTCCTTTTTTCTTAATAGGTTCAGGATACGATTTGTGATGTAAATCGTAAGATTCTGCGAGCTTGTGTAGATTTTTGGAAACAAAGTTTGAGCATTTTCATGACAACAAGTCTCTTTCTCTGTCTTTGCGTTGCTTGCTTTTAAGTCTTTTTTGGAAACAAGATTGCATAAACACTCACTGTCTGTGTCTGTTAACTCTGTTTGATATATTGATATATAGTTGAATGGAAGAGAGGCTTGTGGTTGCGGAAACAGAGCTCGAGGCTCCAAGGTTAGAGAGAGTCTCAGCAATGGAAGGAGAAACACGAGGAAGCGCAGACTCATATGTGCTCCTTTGATTAACATTCTTCCTAGTGAGGCCCAAACATTTTCCGCCATTGGAAGGCCCAAATTTACTGAATAGATAAGACGTTGCTTTTTGTCCAATATGATCAAAACTGCATGCCATTTTTTCATCCTTATACCCGGATGATGTTTTTGGCTTTGTGATTTTTTTTTTTTTTTGTTGTAGAATATAGTGACTAGTAAAAGTTTTTAATAGGGTAATATTAGTATTCAAAATGAATATCGATGAAATAATATATGAATATCAATCATTATAGTTAAAGATAACAATCACTAAATCAAATGCATTTAACTCAACCGGTATAAAAAATTTAAAAGTAGGGTTAATTCAACTTCACTGTTGAAGTTTTTGAGTTAGACGTTATGAGAAACGCAAAAATAAACTCGTTTGATCAATAATCAACTTTATGTCTGTGTAGCCACCGTTCCTAACGAGATGTGTGGACAAGAAGAATGTAACAATCACTGTCCTCGAGAAGAATATTATTGGTAATCCATCCTATGAAAATTTGGTTGGATGTATTCATAAATAAAACAGTGAATTAACACAAATATATTAGAGGAAAATAGTAAGAGTACATAAACACACTATATTACGAAAAATTTTCTTTTTTTGCTAAGCAGATTTCTTAAATGTTGGATATTTACATACACAATTTGCTAAAAAGATTTCTTAAATGTGGGATATTTATATACACATTTTTTTAATGGAAGTTTGGTAGAAAACTTTATAGATATATATTAATTTCTTCTTCTCTTTTTCTTTTTCTTCTCTGTTTTTTTTGGCCTTTTTCTTGTTTTGTTTTTATGTGGTTTAGTGTAGAGATATTAGCAAAGCAAAATGATTGTGTCGAGGGCTCGTGGAGGAATATTTTGGTTACAACCCTACTATTTTTCAAATTGGACCAATGTGGCAATGTAACAGAGGCTTCGAAAATTTGTTATGCATGCATATATGTATGTAGAGTCTGGTAAGTAACTCATGAAATAGTAATGGTTTCATTATCTTCGCTATATTATTGAGATATATATATATTATAATTATAAAGAAAAATAGAATGACAAATTTGATTTTACAACATGAAATATCAACAAATTAATCATTAAAACAATGAATGAAAACTATATCGACATATAGTTGGTTGAACCGACTGAAATCAAGTGCATCAGTTATGTCGGATCTTTAATTTGAGGAGTTTAGCACTATATTTGGAATAATGATTTAATATTTGTGAATATACTAAATGTAGTAAAACATTAATTTAAAACTAGTTATAGGTCTTGGGAAATGCTTGAGCTTTTTTTTTTTTTTTTTTCTCATAAGTATTTCACTTTATTAACCCACCAAAGGGGAAACAAGGCCTTAAAGCCTACAACGACTTGTGCAGAAATAAAAGTGAGGCCCAACATAGCCTACTAGATTAACATCTACGGCATAAAGATGTTTGACATTGGACTCTATCCAATACAGGTGTCGACATGAGATTACAACTGCAACACATGATGAAGAGTCATCGGAAGTGTACCGACATCAACCTTCGCCGCCGAAGAATACCAAATCCGGTGAGGAAAACATCGCCAAAACATGGCACGAAGTATCCTTGTTACCACCGAAATAAATCTGAACGGTGCTCCAATTAAAAGACACGGCATAAGGGAATCATAATAAGCATCGGAATATTCTTCAATCTTTCAACCCCAAGACATAATCTCTTAAAAGATTTTCTGCAAATCGAAGTTTCTAAAGACACAGGACAGAAATTAATTTTAAGCAACCAGCACCTAAAACTAATTACCATCTCAAATCTATTGAAATTTATTGAAAACTAAAAAAACAAAGCAATCAGTATAAAACTGATCGACTACGAGCAAGGATACAAGCGGCCAAAACCTCTCATGGGAGCAGGATTTGCCGAACAGGAACCGGTCATCTCCATTAAAGGAGCTGGAAGATACCGGGCAAAAGCCCGAGTCACTCGGGACGGCTATTACCGGAAAAATTCCGGTCGGCATGCAGAGACCAAAAGCTTTCCCTCTCTGAAAGTTTTGAGAGAGAGAAGAGAGAGAAAAGCTTCATTTTCTCGAGTTGGGGAAATGCTTGAGCTAAAGAATCTTAAATAAAGAAAACGATAAATGACGAACATCCAGAAACAATAGTCATTCAAACAGCTGGGCTTTTAGAAGGAAGAGTATTTTTGTTTTGCAACCTAAAAAGTATGTATAGTTAGTAATTAATGTTAAGGACAGTCGCATTTAATTAACAAAAACTTTCATATAAATCATAAATGAATTGGCCAATGGCTACATCGTTGATGACTGGAAGCTTAATCAAACAGCTGGGCCTAATATTTTCTTGGTATAATTTCCGTAAAATCTCTTATATCAAGGTCACCTTTAAAATTGATTGCTATTTACCTATATAGATTGACAATAAATTCAACCTCATAAATTACTTATTCTATTTCATAATAGGTGTCGTTTAAGTTTTTTACACATATATTAAAAAAATAATTAAATTTTCTGTTTTATTCATTATCAATTTACTCTCTCCGTCCTATAAAGATGAATTTATTAAGAAAAAAATTTATCCCACAAAGATAAAAGTTTTGTGTTTCCAATATCAAATTTTAAACAGTTTACCTAAAAATATACTCTTTAAAATATGTTAAAAGGTTAAAATTGTCATTATACATTATTTGTTAAAGAATGTGAAATTTTTTAAAAATCTATCTTTGTGGGACGGAGATAGTATTTTGTTATTTTTTCATTGGTCAATGCATTAAATTAGTAGAGACAAAACTGGAAATTTTACCAAACATCTGCATTGAGAACACAAAACGACATTTATTTTAAAACAAAATTCAAAAACTAAAACGACATTTAATATGAAACGGAGAGAGTATTATTTGTCAAAAACTTATGAAGTAGTGTTAACAATTTAGTTGTAAGAACTATACACATATGATTTATCTATTACTACTACTCAGTATCAATTATTAAGGGAGGCAAAAGGCGAATAAACTGGTCCCAAACTCTATTATGTCATGTGAACATTTAACTCCATTTTCTATTCATATTAAAAAATGATGTTCAAAAAAGTATATCTAAATTTTATTTGATCTTATCTACGACAATATAGTTCTTAACTGATACTAAAAGATGAATGTTATTCAATAAATGTTACGCTAAGGGTTTTTTTTTTTTTTATGCTAAGGACATCTAGTTGACAAATTTATCAAGAAAGCTAAAAATAAACTCAGCTTACACAGAAACGAACATTTAAACATGTGAGCACATTTCCTCCAACATTCAATAACGTTCGAGTGTGTTTTTTTTTGTTGGTGTCAAACGTGTATATGTATCTATTTATTTGACTATTTTTGCATAACCTTGTATTTTAATTTATCATGCAATCAAACCAAATACCGCGTTACGAGATCTTTAGAACTAGTCACATGTTCCTTTCTTATCCTTGTATTATTAATGAAATAATTTTAGTTATATATTCCTCTCTATATATTTGAAAGGTGAAATCTAATCTAACTAATTCTATAGAAACATAAGAATTTTGTCGCACGATGGACATTTTGATTTCCTTGGAGAGAAAAAAAATGTAAGGGTGTAATTATAATTGGACGAATTATTTGAGATATGATGCTAAGTAATAAAATCCCAAATAAGAACTTTTTGCCAATATGCAAATTGCTTCTTCATTAAATGACTAATAGGCCCCCAACATAATTACACTATCCACAATTAAACCCCCAAATTCAATCAAAATTCCAAAACTACCCTTCACTCATCTATCGTACTCAACTCCGCCGCGTAACATTTCCTCCTCCGGCTACTACTAACACTACCACCACCGTCACCGTTCCTCCCTTTCCTCCTCCCGGAGCCGGAACCCACCGTATCATCACCGGAGCCTACTCTCATTCGAAGCTTATCAGAAACAATAGGATCGACACATTTCCGGCGACAACCTCCTCCTCCTCCTCCTCGCATGAGCGCAGAGCTAGCTTTAACGGCCAATGCAGCCATCTCCTCCGCTTTAAGTGGCTGACGAAGCCAACAAAGAGGAAGAGCAAAGTATATCTGACCAAGCTGAAGCTCTTCATCGGCGCTAATGGCGGCAACGGCGTCGTCAAAGTCCATATCGTCGGAGTTACAGATAAAACACATCGGATACTTGAGCAAAACGTATCCAACTTTAACGGGATTCGCAAACTCCATCATCCTCCCATCTTGTAAGATCAGCTTCGCCGTCGCTACTTGAGTCGACTCGCTCGAGCTGCATATACCCATTTGTATAATAATATTCAGTAAAGTGATTCTTGGTAACTCGCTCCGAGTTGACTCAGTTTTATTCCGGTGAAATGAATAATTATGGGGAAGGAGACTTTGTGTATAAATAGGGAGAATTTGTAGAAGAAGAAAAAAAAATGGATGCCACGTAGGATTTTGTCGTTTTATGGACCAATAGGAGTGATGACAGGCTGTATAAGTGGTGGGGAAGAAGACAGCTTTTGTGTTTGCGTAGATATTTTAACCCTTTATTATTACCTATAAATATAATTACCATGTCAGGGACTGACCTTTTTATTTATTTCGAATTTGTTGTTACCATTTCTCTTTTTTCTTTTTTCATTTACGTTTTTAAAAATGTGCTTTGAATGATAAGTATACAAAAGTTAGGTATAAATAAGACAAAACCTATATATAAAGACATGAAGCTAACTGCTAACCCACTCTACAAGCGTGGAATAAGCTTGTTTTATGAGTTCATTTGTGAATGTTATTATGAACACATTTTGTTTTATGAGTGTATTATGAGTTAATAAATTGAGTATAATGCTCGTGGGGTTGGCGCGGTGGGTTTACGAATTTAAGGTAAAATTGAATTTCCCGATTTAAAATAACTATTGCTGCCCTTTATGACTAGGTTACAATTTTAAATGCATTACTCGTTCCCATTTTTGTATATGGAAATTTATGAACTTTCTTGTCACTTTTAAATCTGTGATCTTGATTGGCCAAGAAGCTGTCGGAATCCTTTAATGTACTTTTAATTCATTGGTTATTTACTCCTTTATTTTGGGTGTGTATGTACATTTACTTTAATTACAGTCTTGTACTCTTGTGTTTATTTTCTACTGTACGTATATATTTTTTACGCTTCATTTATGATATTTAAAGTATTAATAATTTAATATTTTGAACAAAAAGATATATTAATATTATTAGTACTTGGTTTTGTTGATAATCTATAGTACTATACAAGAAGTGGTGAATGAATTGTAAAGATTTTTTTTCCTAAAATTAATTCAATCGATCTATTAGAAAACAAAGCCGTTTTATTTTTACTTTTTAGTAACGAGTACTAGTGGTAATTTGTTAAGCTAAATCTATATTTTCAATTCCTAACTAAACGATCGATTGTCCATTTAAAATATACAAATAATTTGATGAAAAAAGTAATATAAAAAAAATGTAAAAGACGTAATTTCCAGGTAGATTATGAACGGCTCATATTGTTCACGCTTCACAGTGTTTATAATGAATTCCGATGGTCTATTATTCCAATATTTTGATCTATAATATACTTGTTGCAACTATTTGTCTGGTTAGTGACAAGCAAAAGGTTTGTTAATCACAATTATTAAAATCTACCAGTCGGACTCATGGAAAAAAGCCAGAGTTTGCTTACGTTGATGTCAACATTGAACATCCTAATTCACATTTTATCAAAAAAAAAAAAAAAAAAACATTGAACATCCTAAAACACAATGAATTTGATTGGTGATAACGAATAAAAATAAGTGATCATGACTTAAGCTAAATAGACTAATAGAGTAAGCATATTTGTTGGCGACCATGGTTTTACTTCTCCTTAGTAAGTATATTTGTTCCGGTTTTGGTTTACCAAGTTGCGTAAGGACTTGTTGCTACTACTTTATCTTTCTAATTTCTTGTCTACAGACATTTACCCAATCTATAGAGGGAAGGTGGGGGAAAAAGGAAAGAATTGGCATAACTTAGTAATTAAGATTGAGAGAATAATGTAAGTAGTTGTAAAATTTTTTTGGTAGGAAGTAATTAGTTGTATTTAAATGCAGTATAAGCTCTATAAATTAATACTCGATAAATTAATATCTTTATAAATCAATACATTTTTTTTATTCCAAATTTAATTTTTGAAATAATTAGTATATTGATAAAATAATAATTCGATAAATTAATAAAATATCGAAGTTCTAACTATATTAATTTTTTTTTAACTATATTAATTTATTGAGGTTTTACTGTGATTTGATTGTTTTGATAAATGTTAGTGATCGGTTTTAATCTGAGTAATAGTATATTTGCGAGAAATTACAATATTAACTCTTTCGTTCGATCATGAATACTATATACTACGCAAAATCTCATGTCCTTCCAGGTTACGTTAAACAACTACGTCCTGATTTGTTTTTTTTTTTAATAGTAATATTACTCTCTCTTGATATTTTTAATACCGTACCAGAGACGTGGCCTTAGTCCACGGGATAAAACGAGAGTGCAGGAATAGCAAGAGAAGGGAGTGGCAGGGGAACAACGTGGCCTAAACTGACGCAGCCACGCATCGTATTTTCGAGCCAGGAGAGGCCACGTACCTTTCGATGGGTCCTACAAGAATCCGACAATTTCTATTGGTGATGGCTTAAACTTGTTAAGTCCCTTCTTGCCCGGTGACATCTCGTTATTTGTTCATGCTTCTTCGGATATAGAAATTGTTATTATTTTATCTGTGGTTCTGAATAATAATGTAATAGTCAAATTCTGGAATGGAACGATAGGTCAATATGCGGTTCATTGTCAACTATCACAACGATGCCAACCAGAAATGAAGTGGTGTTTAGCTAATAGTATTATTATTATTTTCATTGTCCTTTGGTCAAACGACCGCTCTATTAGTAATTTTAATTACTGCAAATTGATTATGGACCAATAATCGATCCTCTTACTCGCTAAAATCAATCATCTAAACCCTCTCAATTGATGTATAAAAGTATATATAGAACATTATATTCATCAAATATGTGTTATTGGACAAGTTGAAGTAGCATATACTTATCGTAACACATTAATTTTACAGTAAGAGACCAATCCACCGTATACCATTCTACTATCTCACTGTTTCACTATATATTGACATTAATTACCCTTTACTATGGTAGTTTTCTGTTTTATTGAGCTATCATGTTTTTATCCCAAACCGTTATGGTGGATAATATGAGATATCCTGATTACTGCTTTTTGCGACAGAGGGACGCGAATAATAATAGATGAGTTTGAAAAATATGTTACGATTAGGGAATTGTTTAAGCTGGACTGTCGAAGTAATGCTTGTTAGTTGTAACACACTCATAATCTGTGTTTTAATTTTCTTGTACAAAATAATGCCTCTTCTCTGTTATAGATACTTGTGTCGTAATAACGTGTGACTGTTTTATTTAATCGTGTTTTTTTTTTTGTAATTTATCGTAAATAAATGAGTTTGCGAAAATAACTAACATTATATTATTAGAAAGGTTTGTATGTAGAACAAGAAAGCGAACGTCACATGCTCCATGCTTTTGTATGAAGCTTCATGGATGCTGCTCCCTCTCACGGTCTCAGCCCACAAATGAGAAGATTGAACCAATTCTTATACCTCTCTGACTCCCACAAAATAATGCTTTATTCGACTTCCAAACATTTTATGTTTGATGTTGTTTTTCATCAGTAAATTAAACCGACCGTTTGAGAAGAAAAAAAACCCGACCATAATATATACACAATCCCCCAATAAAGAAACGTTATCATGTTTAATTTGCTGTAAATTTTTTACCAATCAGTTTTGAATTGACTATTGAGATAATCTGATATTTTTTTTGCGTCCATATACCAGTTAAATTTTAATCGAAAAGAGTTTTAATAGCCTAGCTTACAAAAGTCACGTGCAAATATTTGTTATAAAATTGTTTACAATTCAATTAATTAGGTTTCTTAGTCATGAATTCATGATTGTTTTTTTTGGTGAGTTGAGGAGGTGAAAGCTCCCGTTTAACATGTGCATTTGTACTCCTTTGGATGTATTTGTGAAAATTACAAATTATTTCTCCAATGTGTATTCACACCATAATAATTAATCTTAAGAAATTTGTCATAAATAATTAAGTAACACTCATGGCGCGTCAATGCATGTGTTTTTTTTTTTTTCATCCTCCGTATTATACATTCTAAACATCACTTTTTACACATATATACTAATCTTAGAAGAATGATGTCCGTGATTTTCTCTAAATATGAAAGTAATTTCTTAGTTAAAAAAGACAGAACACGCAAAAACATCAAGCGACCAACGAAATGGACTTAGTACTTTGGGAAAATATCCATATGCAAAATTTCAATGGTTTAAAGTTAAAAGATATGATTCATTCGATATAGAATATTGACTTTTATGGTTTTGTATTATTTATATGTTTGTTTTTATGCGATAGTGGGACTCCTTCTTTTTTGTCCGATAATTTCTTGTAATTTTGTTCTTTAGATTCAATGAAAAAGCTCGCACTTGTCATTACCATGAAACTTCCCATCTTTTAAATTTTATAGAAATCTAGAATCAAAAGTTTCATCATCATGCAAGGCTGTCTTGGGTCCCTTTATCTTCAATCACTTCTGATCGCTTAAGAATTCCTCCTAATCATGGTTCATAAAAGTATCAACTATTATTATGTTGGTCTTGATTTTGTGGAACAATCTATATACGTATGCACATTAAAAAAACCTTAATTATATACACTTAAGCAGTACAATAGTTTTTGTAATTGTTTGACGAGAAAAAAACGAATAACAATAAAATACTACTGGGGATTTTAAAGGAAATAAAAACCAGTAAAAAGTCAAGAAGTAAGGTTGGGAAAATTTCTCTATGTGTGATTTGGCCATTTGAGTTTTGTTTCTAAAAACATATAAAATTTTGTTTATGTGATCATTTGGGTATCAAAGAAAATCTATAGAAAGTTATACGTACGGAACACATGAATTTGTATGTGCATGCACTTGAACAAGCCGGTGCCTTCAAGTGAATAACGACGAACATTTTAAAATCCATAAGTCGATTCTCATTTAGAAGCAATGAAATAAATATCCATTACAATTAATATTTTAATTAATTAATTTGATTCATCTGTATGTAGTATGCTAATACAGATAAATACTTATCTAAATCCAGACATTTTCAAATGAAATGAGATTTGAGATTGGACACTTAGGATATAGTTTAGATCTTCATGTCTCCCATATATTACATGAAATTATTATATATATCATTCTTCAAAAATATGAACAAATTAACCTACTTTGTTCAAAAAAAAACAAAAAAAAAAACAAATTAACCTACAAAACAATAGTATTTTAATTTTATATAATTCATCACAATTTTTAAAACTTTACCCCTACTATATAGATAATAGATTGAGTCCTTGATTAGTAATTTTGCTGTAGAGCATAGTTTAATCATAAAGTTTTGTATAGACCCATGTGCAATGCTATAACACTGCCTTGCAAACTACAAGATGTACTTTATGAAAGGTCAAAATTGTTTTACAGTTCAAAGACTACAAAATTTTCCTCTATATACAGTGTTTCTAATGGGACATTCGATATGACATTTGCTATTTGAAATTATAGATTACTAAAAACAATAATATTCGAAAATCCGTCAGGAAAGTGGCATTGGTCGAAGCAAAGGAAAATTATTCTGCAACAAATACAAAAGGAAGAATATAACCATAGACTGGTGAAATGAAATCTAATTATTGAGACATTAGAGAAGGAAGAAGACGAAAATTAAATAAAGTGGAAGCAAATGAAAGAAACGAAGACAAAAACGCCATTGTCGCCGATAACTTATACCGATCACATTGCTTCTCTCCGGCGCCGATCAAACGTACGGCCACGCTCACCGTCGAGCAAGCACCTCCCAAAGACAAAAACGACAAAACCTGAATAAATCCAAATATATAAAGGAAATTATAATTAGCTAATCAACAATTTTACATTTTTTTTTTCGCTAAAAATAACAACTAGTTCCAAACTTCCAATTTTGCTACATTTTGCAAAAAGAAATTTCCTGTTTAATGTTTATTATATAATTAATAAAAATAGAATTGATGTCCTTTAAAGAGAAATCAAATTTTCAGAGTCTACCACCAAACAACAAAGATATACAAGTTGATGTACTCTAGAGATTTCGCCATCTTGATTAAAGCAAGACAAGTGATCCATATTCCTCTGCTTGTTGCAAACAGATATTTTCAGATGATGATTATGTTCTGTTGATGTAGAGTTGGATGGGTCATCACTCATCAGCTTACTCTAGCTTTGATGTGACTCGTTTTACATGAGTCGGTTCATTATAAATCGTGATCATTTTCAGATTCGACACGATCTAGTGTTTTTGCGGTTTAAATTGTAGTTGAATATAGAGACCAGTCCAAAACATGGTTCCCCTCAGCTGCAAAGTTTTGGCCTACTACAACTTCTATACATAAACTTTATTAGTTTGAGATACATTCGACCACACACTCAATTACCAACACTAAAATAAAAAGTGGAGTCCAAGTTAAACAAGAAACATAAGGAACCAACAATTTTTGCATAGTAAAGATTAGTTGACCCGATATTGATAGGACCGGAACCACTCAATACAGTGGCTACCATTATTAGATAACTATAAGTTGGTGTATAGCCTAAAATCTTTATCCTTTAATGGCTAATGTGATTTGGATATCTCTCCATCTTTCTTATATGATATGGTCCACTACAGATATTATAGTGGCAAAGGATATTGCAGAAAAGCTAATATAAAGTTGTGGAATGTATCACAGTTTGAATTGTTCTTGGATTGTATTTTGATAAGAACCAATCAAAATCTAATCTATATCCATCCACTATGTCTATGTCTATTACTAGTCACAATCAGTTCATTTGGTAACACCTTTAATTTTCTTAACAATTGGTTCATTTAGAGAAACACGTTTTCTTATCAAATTAATCTTCTTTTGTTTGATAAAAAGCAATTTAGTTTCGAGTTTTTGACACGTATACAAAATAAAGTAGATGAATGTTTTAAGCACAAAGATAACTTACAAAATCTCCAGCGACGATGACAGATATAACTGTTGCTTGCATAGGAAGTTGTTGGAGGATGATTGAGTAAGCTTCCATTAGGGCTAACGTCACGCTCCAAGGTGTCACTAAACCCATGACTGTGACTAAATAACTGTTCCATAACATTCATAATTAAGTCTCTTGTTTCGAAACTTGTGTTCTAATTTTGAACGAAATATTTGAAAGATTACCAGAAGGCAGTGTAAGCGTAGAAATCTTCGTCATCGTTAAAGCACATGAAAAGAAGCGAAGCAGAGGAAAACAGAGTTTGTCCGAGACGAAGAACAAAGCTTGAGCTGGTTCCAAACGACGCCGTTCTAACCATCTCCTTGAACGGAATCCTTGTTACCGTCTCTCCTTCTCGTCATTTTCACCTGCTTCGATCTTCCATTTCGTGGATTGTCCAAAAGATTTGAACTTTTGATTAGGAGAGAACACAGAATCAAGAAACAGAGCAAATGGTCCTCTGTTTTTGAGACAGGGGAGGTGAAAAGACACAAAGTGGATGTGATAACAATGGTATTATAAGGCAAATGGTTTGCTTAATTGTGGACCTCTTCTTACTTCTTATTCAAAAATCATCTTTGCTGTTACAAGCAATTATCCAGATCTACAAATATGATTATCTTAATCCGCAATAATTAGTCTTTTTATCACAATAATTAGTTTCTGATTAAAGACAAAAGTGGAAAGTATTACCAAATGGAGTTCCACATGTACAATGAACTGGAATCAATATTCTTTAATCATAACAACATTTACAGAAAAAGAAAACAAAGAGATTCTATAGACAATCAATGTTTTATTCCTCAAGTTGGGCATACCAGATTCCTTGGATCTTGACATCCTTAGGAGTCTTAGCACCCAAATCAGTATCCGAAGGCTGAATACTCTCGAAAACACCGATCACTTCACGACTCTCGGGATTACTCTTTGTGACACTAAGTGTGATCTTACCAAGTGAAGCAGCTGTGTTCTTGCTGTTCTCTTTAGCTAGCTCCTCATCGTCTCCTCTAGCAGGTAATGCAACCGCATTGTCGTAGCCCGTAGAGCCACCACGGCCTTTAGGATCCAAGAAAGACGACCCTCTATAAGATGGCACCAAGAAATCTCCTCCAAAGCTCTCTGGTTTACCCGATGCCACAAGCTGCTTGATCGTGAACAAGAACGGTACACGCTCGCCACCAGGAAGTTGTACTGTCACTGCAGCGTAATCAATACCGTCTTTCTCTAGAAACTTCACCTTTCCATCAGAAGCTACCTATTGAATCAATACCAAAGTTAAGATTTTGTATGGACTGATCTAATGTATTAAGCAGCGAGATTTACTTCGAAAGGGCCTTCGATTTCATCGAGTGTGTAGGTAAGACGAGTCATGAGCTTTGTGTTTTGGAAATCGGGCGTAGAGTTCTTGCTAACTCCTTCAGCTTTTACGGTGAATGAAGTTGGCTCTAAGCAGAATTTCTTGGCGTAGTATTTGCCTGGCTTTATGGCGAATGACTCCAAGCCACCTTCAATGGTTGGACATTGATTCGCAGTTCCTGTTCCTTTCACTTCCATGTAAGTCTTGCTCTGTATCTCGTCGAAAGTTAGCCTCTTTGGCACGCCTTCTGCATTTGCACCCTTAAATACACAAAAACATGTTACATGAATCATCAAAATACCATTATCTTTATCTATGCATTGATCAGATTCTTAAACCTAACCTTTAGTTTATCAAGATCACATCAAGTACACTAAAAGGCTGAATCTTTTGCATTAAAAACTGAAATTGTGAAGAAGAAAAAGAAATCTTAATTTTCAATTCAATGTTCATGTTACTCAATTTCTCTGCAAATAGCTCACTTTCGTAAACCCTAATTTAGCGATCATAGGAGGAACTAGACTGTAAAAGGTTTGAGATTGTAGCTTGTCGAACACCTAGAAACCGTACCGAGACAACAAGAGCGGAGGCGGCGAGTGAAAAACCAGCGATCTTAGTAGTATCAACGAATTTCAGAGTTAAGTTCTTGAGATCGTCGTGGAGGGAGCAGGAGACGCGGCTCGCCACCGGCTCAACTCCAAAGTATTTAGAGACGCACATCCGGAGCTTTGCGGCGGCCCGAGGTGGTGGATCCACCCTGGCGGGTTGCACGGTGGTGACGGCGGCTTGTAAGAAAGCGGCCATAGTCCGCCACAGAGTTCCTCCTTGTCGGACAAAAAGCTCTCTGTTTTGAGTGATTTGAAGTGTCCAAAATTATCAGGTTCTGTCTTATGCCACGTGGCAGCAGATTGTTTGTCGTCAAAGATTCCGCATCTTGATTGATTGTAATACAAGAATATACGTTACTAAGACGTCATGCAGTACACTTTTGGATACGAACAACGGCACGTAGTTCAATGCTATAGGAGATGATAGAAATTTGTGTTGCTTTATTAAAAGTTTAAAAGAGTCATACCAGAAATTTGTGTTACAAAAATTAAAAATAGAAATTACTAAAAATATCCAGTAAAATTCTTTTAATTTTTTTTTCATAAAATTTAAAACAACTACTTAGTCATGATCAGTAAAATAGTCGAGAATATTCAAGATCTCATTCAACACACCAACCAATATACAAACTCATAAATCTTACAAGTCACACAATTACAAGAAAAAAACAATATTACAAGTCAGTACAATTGAAATTTCTTTTTTTATATTCAAGATTTCTCAAACACAAATGCTTTTTATAAAGCCATAAACAATTCAAACCTTGAAAATGAATTGAAGACACAAAATGTTGAAAGAGTCTACAAGCCAATGGTATTGACTTAGAAGATGTGAAAAAATATGGTCCAGACCGGATAAACGAGGAGAGCAACGATCCCAATGGTATTGGAGATTCCATTCTTCTGAGTAAATGAGTTTTTGAATCCACCAGAAGCTTTAATGTGTTCATGGAAAAGGTAACATGCTATTACAAGACATATTACTGCCCCAACCCAACTTTCTCTTAGTGTCCAAGCTATGAGGCTCGGTGCAACCACTATAAGAAGAATTAATCCTGCCGGAATCTCTAGCCAATCTACATGTTTTAAACATTTATATGGAAAAAAAAAGAAAGAAGATTTTTAAGATCAAACTTTCGTCATTATTTAGTCGAAATTTAAACTAATGTTTAGTCATGAAAATGCGGGTTCTGACCTGGAAATTCTTTAGGGAAGAAAAGCCTGATTGTGATCGCGATGAGAGCAATCCATTTCCCAAAATCTCCGCTGTGACATTAAATCGAATATCGATTATATTTTCAAAAGAACTCCATAACATCATGTTAATGAACAGGTTTTCTTGATTACCTAAAGAACTGAAAGATAACCGAAGGAAGTGTGAAAAAAATGTATGGCACTAAAAGGGTAGTCAACATTTTGGTTCTCCAGTTGGTGCGATCCAATATCAACAGATAACTGTAAAAACAAACAATACGGATCATCACAATGATCCAAACAAAAGCCAGAAAGTTTATATGGTTTGGTATGTTTTTGCTCACATGGCCGAGATTGAAGCGGCCCATTGAAGGAAAGACGTGCCAAAGCCTAACCCGCCGAGCATCCCTACATCTTTCACGAGCTTTTTCGCGGCTGCGACGAACTCATTCAGATCAGAATTGATCAGGTTCGCCGTGTTCTCCTCAGTCTTCATGGCCAAAAACTCAACCCTCCCCATTTTTAAGTTTTATTTTATTTGTGAATGTAGTAAACTCTCTCACATAGCAGAGTATTTATAACCAATCACAAAACACCTTTGGCTGTTTGTGACAACTGTTGTGAATCAGAGGGAAAAGAAAAAAAAAAAAATTGTGAACTTCGATATATCTAGGAGCTGCTCGCCACGTAGGCTTCGCTGGTGACAGAAACAGATTTGACACGTGGCTTCCCCAAGGGTCTCGTTTTCATATACAGCTTATCATATCTCCAGATACTTAGCGTAACCTTATTATACTAATCATATTAAAGTCCAGATTTAAATTCTACAAGCAACCCACATTTTTAATAAAGGATATCCTCTTATCCCTTACTTATTATAAAATTAATTAATACCCTAAAAAGTATCCTCTGCAGATGATTATCAGATTGTGCTAATAAGATTTTGGTTTTGTGACTAAACTAAAAAGCACATAAAAATAAGACTGATTGACAACAATAATAAGCCAAAAAAATCCAAAGATCTCAGCGATTAAAAAGCAGTAAGTACGGACCCCATTACAATACAAGAACCTGAAAATCTAGTCTTGGAAGATCCATGAGGATGATACCAAATGTTTTTCTCAGTTTTCATCGGTTAAAACTTAAGTAGTAATAGAAATTTTTATACCTTTTTCCGCTTTCAAGAGGAGTTGCCATCTGCTTTGTCTGAAAAATCAGGAGCTGGTTTCTTTGAGGCACTTGATTCGACAGAGGTTGCATTCATTAATACTCTCTTCACTCCTCTTCCAACAACACCCAGATGAGTAACACCTGATGCTCCTCCTCCTCCTGCTGCACCGGTATGCGCGGTTGAGACCGTAGGTGACTCTAATTCTTTCCCCAAATTGGTATTCACAGTTCCCATCCTAGAAGAGCTCATTTCAGCAGCAGCAGCAGGAACAACCTTGTCACTAGCATTGGCCTTAGCTGATACCATGCCCATTAGCTCAGCAAGAACTTGCTTTGGGTTCTCTGCTTGTTGTTTCAAATCCTCAAGCTGCAGAAAACAAATGTTGGACATTAATATGGGTTTGGAGTTATTTTAATGAACTGATAGGTTTAGTTTTCTTGCCTTCTTTTCTAGATCTTCAGCGAGACCAGCTAAGACTCCAATCTCAGCTTCTTTGTCTGAAGCAGATTTATCAATGTAAGGAACATTGGATGATTGTTGGATGCCTTCATCTATTTCAGAGACGGTTGAGGAAGTTGCTGAACAAGATGCACCTTTGATCTCATTACTGAGCCTCTCCATCCGTGCTTTGCAGATGAACATAGCTTTTTGACAATACGGTATTGCTTCCTTAGGCTGACATCCAGTTTCTAGACAGATGCATATGCGGAAGTTTCTGAAACGTTAAAGTTAAGTTTATATCATCCAACAACTCAATTGACATAACGAAAAATCAGATACAATTCAAGAAATCAAAAGGATACAATTCAGCTGTGTGTCGACTGTCGGGCTCAACCAATCGCTCCAAGATGGACAATGCATTCTTGTAGTCAGTCAGGGAAGACTCAATGTCCTCTGCATAGTAAAACAACACAACTCAAAACCAGCCAATAGCTGAAATGAGAAAATAAGACAATGCAAAGGTGAAAGGAAAAAGAGATACCTCTTTCCAAGGAAATTTCAGCAAGCGAACAGAGTATATCCACTTTTTCCATTGTCTCAGTAGACTGTTTGTCAGTAATAGCCCTTGCAATATCCAGCATTTTCCAGGCCATATCCAAATCAGACTCATCTTCATCACCATCAGCATCAGATAGTTCATCATCTTGACAATCTTCACCATCCTCTCCTTGGTCTTTACCACCAGAACCTATGCATGAAGGAGAAAAAAGTCAGCAAAACAAAGAAGCAGAAGCATCTACACACACATAAGCTTAAACTAGGACAATAATTCCGTACCATCTTGCCCACTTGAACTCCCTTGTCTCTCCGTGTTACTAGAAACAACAGATGGAGCCAAAGATTCACCATTGCTACACTCTTGCTGAACTTCACCTTCTTTCTTAGGCATGTTACCAAGTGGATCAGCTTCAGCTTGAGCCTTCTCCAGGAGAGCTTTTCCATATCGATAGTATGCGTTTACACACTCAGCATCAAGTTCACCAAAATGTGCAACCCTAAACATGTCATCAAAAACAAGCAATGTTTCCATTAGATCCTCTGCTAAAAGGAGACACAATTGAATCTCAACCAAAAACCCAGAACCATGGTTAGATCGTTCGAGCATAACCTAAAGCCCATAAGGTGTGAATCAGAAACATTTGAAACCCTAAACCCTAGATTGATTTCGAAATGATACCTGATCTCGAGGGCACGGCTAAAGCAATCGACAGCTTCAGCGAAATCATTCTCTTTCAACAACACAGAGCCTTTCTCCGTCAATTCCTCAGCGAACTCAAGCGTCTTCTCACGCTCCTCATCACAAACCTCAGTAGCGGCACTATCGGCGGCGTTATTGTTATTAGCATCGTTGTTGCAAGTCGACTCAGTGCCTCCTTGCACAACAGATTCGACAGTGGCTTCGATTGAGGCTAGGTTAGGTTCTAGGGTTTGCGGTATCTCCGTCGCCGGCTCGGTTAGGGTTTGTATCACCGAAGCTTCCGATGCTGAAGCTGATTCATCAACCATCGTAGATTACGATTTTTCTGTGTGAATTTGAAATTGGAAGAACAAAAACGTCAAATTTGTTGGCAAGAGTTGTTGTATCGTCGCAAAAGTAAAACCCTCTCTTCGCTTTTTTTGGCGGACTTAAGAAAATGGAACCCAAAAATTAAAGAATTTGGGGAGAAAATTAATTTTCATTTTTTAATTAAATAATAATTCACGGAAAATAGACCAATAAAAATGCGTATGTTATCCCACACACGATGGAGTCTAGCTAACCTGCACCGCTCTTGTTTCACTAAAGCATACGCAAGTCACTTAATAATTTCCAATTTTAAAAAAAACAAAACATAATTTCCATTAATATGGAAAAATATGGCCGTTGTAATTGTGATCAATTTCCTTTTTTTTTGGAAGCCCAAATATGAAAAAGGTATGTTTCCTTTTTTTTTTGCGTAAACATTTTCTTATAAATACTCATATCTTCTTCCTTCTTTTGCAAATCAAAATTTTCATTCCAAAGACGAAAAAGAAAAGAAAAATCCTTTTCTTCTCTGCAAAATCAGCTCTGTGAATATTATAGAGAGAGGATCACCAATCTCGAGACCGTTAGAAGTCAATGTAAATCCTACAAGGTTAGAGATCATCCATACCAACGCCACTTCAAAGCGGTCTCTACTCTCTCGTGTTTGATCAATCGATCACGATTTCTAGCCAACCATGGATGCATGATCTTATGAGGACCTGTCTTTGCTTTCGGGAAAGCGCAAAGAAACTCTTGAGTGGCAAAGAAGAGTCTCGATGGCTCAGACCGTTAAGGACTCGCCTGAAGAGAGAAGACGAAGATGATGACTTTGAGTTTCGTCAGATCTCAGCCCAATATGATATGGGCCGGGCTTCGGAAAACAGCGTATGGGCTTTAGCAAACAACAATCCACGAGAGCCAGGTTTGTTCCTTTCTTAATTTCCTTTTTTTTTTCTAAATAAGATTTTGATTTCTATATTAATTAACGTTATAGATAATAATTGATTTGGTAAAAACAATATTTTTCAATTTTAAATTTTCGGATTTCAAACTAAAATAAAAGGTTTTTCGCATCTAATATTTTAAAATAACAGGTTTTATTTTAAAAAATGTTTTCAAACTTAAACGTTAAAATTTAAATACGTGAAAACGGTTAGACTTAGCATCCCGTCCTTTTGGTCCGTAAGTCTTGTGGTGTCATAAGTTTAACAAGTTATCACGTATTTAGATTTAATTTTAAGGGTTTTTTTAAAACAATGTTTTAAGTAAATCTTTATATATTTTTTTTAGCTAAAAGTTTTTTACTATACAAAATATTTTCAAACTTAAATATTAAATTAAATATGTGAAAATGGTTAGACTTAGCATCCCGTCCTTTTGGTCCGTAAGTCTTGTGGTGTCATAAGTTCAACATGTTTTCACGTCTTTAGATTTAATTTTAAGGTTTTTTCAAAATAATATTTTAAGTAAATCGTTTATATATATTTTAGCTAAATGTTTTTTATTGTACAAAATATTTTCAAACTTAAATGTTAAATTTAAATACGTAAAAACGGTTAGGCTTAACATCCCGTCCTTTTGGTCCGTAAGTCTTGTGGTGTCATAAGTTTAACAAGTTATCAGGAATTTAGATTTAATTTTAATGTTTTTTCAAAGTAATATTTTAAGTAAATCGTTTATATATATTTTAGCTAAAAGTTTTTTTATTATACAAAATATTTTCAAACTTAAATGTTAAATAAATGTTAAATTTAAATACGTGAAAACGGTTAGACTTAGCATCCCGTCCTTTTGGTCTGTAAGTCTTGTGGTGTCATAAGTTCAACATGTTATCACGTATTTAGATTTAATTTAAAGATTTTTTCTAAAATAATGTTTTAATTAAATCGTTTATATATTTTTTAGCTAAAAGTTTTTTATTATACAAAATATTTTCAAACTTAAATGCTAAATTTAAATACGTTAAAATGGTTAGACTTAGCATCCCGTCCTTTTGGTCCATAAGTCTTGTGGTGTCATAAGTTCAACATGTTTTCACGTTTTTAGGGTTAATTTTAAGGTTTTTTCAAAAATAATGTTTTAAGTAAATCGTTTATATATTTTTTAGCTAAAAGTTTTTTATCATACAAAATATTTTCAAACTCAAATGTTAAGTTTAAATACGTGAAAACGGTTAGAGTTAGCATCCCGTCATTTTGGTCTGTAAGTCTTATAATGTCATAAGTTCAACATGTTTTCACGTCTTTAGATTTAATTTTAAGATTTTTTCAAAATAATGTTTTAAGTAAATCGTTAATATATTTTTAGCTAAAAGTTTTCATTATACAAAATATTTTCAAAATTAAATACGTGAAAACGGTTAGACTTAGCATCCCGTCTTTTTGGTCCGTAAGTCTTGTGGTGTCAAAGGGTCAACATGTTTTCATTTATTTAAATTTAGTTTTAAAGGTTTTTTTGCAAAAATAATGTTTTTGAAACCGTTTTGATATTTTCTTTTGCAAAATATTTTCAAACTAAAACGTTAAATTGAAATACGTGAAAACTAACCGGACTTAGCATCTCGTCCTTTTGGTCCCTAAGTCTTGTGGTGTCATAAGTTCAACATGTTTTCACGTATTTAAATTTTCCACTTAAATTTAATTTTAATGTTTTTTTTAAAAAAATTGTTTTTTTAAATTGTTTTAATTTTTAACTAAAAGCTTATTATAAAAAGGGGCTTTTGCAAAAATGCCACTTTTTCAATGCCACTTTTCAAAAATACCCTTTTTTAAAACCTTATAAAAAAATGCTCTTAAAAATATAAGATTTACCCAAATATGTATGTAATATTATTAAAACATACACAAACTATATTTATATGTATCTAAAATCTTATAAATACCTTATAAATGCATTTTAAATATCTTTAAGAACCTATAAAATATCTTGTAAAACCTTTGAAAAACCTTAAAAATCCTTTAAAATAACTTGTAAAACCTTTAAAAACACCTTATAAAACCTTATAAATACTTGGATCGAGTCTTCAAGTAGTAGTTACAATCCATAAGTACCTTATAAACCTAATAAAACTTTATAAAAATTTCAGATTTAAAAAGGGGCATTTTTTAAAATGGACATCTAAAAGGGGTATTTTTGAAAAGGAGCACACCAAAAGAGGTATTTTTAACAATTTCCCTTATAAAAAATGTTTTCAAAGTTAAGTTTTTAAATTTAAATATGTTGATTTAACTAAAGTTTTAAATATATATAATACTTTTTATTTAAAAAATTTAAATGTTGAATTTCAAAGATGTGAAAACAAACTAAACTTGATATTATATCCTGAGAATTTTCTTTTATCCGTTAGTGGTATAAGTTCAATCTGTTTCCACGTAATGTAAATTTAAGACTATATTTTTTGTTTTTTTTTAAATAACTATTTTTTATATATTAATGTTTGAATTTATAACTAAATATTAAAGTTTTGATAAATACTTGTTTTACTGTTTTCATATTTTATTTAATCCCATAAAAGCATTATTATAAACCCATTATGTTTCAATACATTTAACAATTAAGTATGTGATTATGTTGCTCCACCAAAAAAGTATGTGATTATGTTTCTAATAAAAATATGATTTTTGAATATAAAGAGTTCCTCATTTCATATTATGTCTCAAAGGTTAAATCTTTTTTTATTATTATTTTTCCGCGAAATAACAAAAAACGTGTGGTTCGAATAGCTTGGTTAGACGAAGAAGCTACAACACTACGATAATGACGATCTGATGAAGTAACCTGTAAATTCAACAGTTTTGTCATCTCTCTCTCTCTCTCTCGCGACGATGGCTCGCTTAGTCTTTTCTTTAAACCTTCCATCTAGTCATGGATTCAATCTCAGTCCTCGAAATCATCAATCTTTATTCGTTACCCAAACAGGAGCTCCAAGATTTCGTGCTGTTCGTTGCAAACCAAACCCAGAATCTTCCGAAACCAAACAGGTGAAAATTTCGATTTTTTTGAAATGGGTCGACGGCAAATTAGCTAAAGATCTAGCCTTTAACTGATTCAGGAGAGATTGGTAGTAGATAATATTGGTGAAAGTTCAGCTGCGTCGAAGGAAGTGGAATCATCTGTTGCTGATTCTTCTTCCTCTTCTTCTGGATTCCCTGAATCTCCCAATAAGGATATCAATAGAAGAGTTGCGGCTGTTACTGTAATTGCGGCTTTGTCGTTATTTGTATCGACAAGGCTCGATTTTGGGATTTCCTTGAAGGATTTAACCGCTTCTGCGTTGCCTTACGAGGAGGTTTCTTCATCTATGTTTTTTGAACTCATAGAATGAATTAATACGAATGCTTAGTGAGTTTTATGAAATGGATTGTTAGGCTTTGTCGAATGGGAAGCCGACAGTGGTAGAGTTTTATGCAGATTGGTGTGAGGTTTGTCGAGAACTAGCCCCTGATGTTTACAAAATCGAGCAGCAATACAAGTAAGTAATGGTCTTGAAAATGAAGCCTCTATATATATATATGAGAAAGCTACAGCGTTGAAGATTCTAGTTGCAGAAGAAACTTAATCTTGTCTTGCCTATGTAGAATCTAATGAACAAGCTAAGATTCTGGTTACAGAACAGACCCACTCTTGTTTTTGGTTTGATTTGGTTAGGGAACTTGTTTAGAAATGGATTGATTATGTAGAAGCTAATGAGCAAGCTAGAGCTTTGAAGATTCTAGTTGCAGAAGAAATCTTATTTTGTGTTGGTTTTGATCATTAATGGATTAGGGAACTTCTTTAGGATTGGATTGGCTATGTAGATAGATGCTAATGAAAAGGGTTGAGCTTTGAAGATTTTAGTTGCAGAGGCAAACCATTTAACCTCATGTTAGTTTAATGGAATATGGAGCTTTTTAGACATTAATTTGACAATTTTTAGCCTAAAGTTGAAGTTTACTTGTGGTGTTGTGATTCGCAGGGACAAAGTTAACTTTGTGATGCTAAATGTGGATAACACGAAATGGGAGCAAGAGTTGGATGAGTTTGGTGTTGAGGGTATTCCTCATTTCGCCTTTCTCGATAGAGAAGGAAACGAAGAAGGTAATGTGGTCGGGAGGCTCCCGAGACAGTATTTAGTTGAAAATGTAAATGCGCTTGCAGCCGGGAAGCAATCAATTCCTCATGCCCGAGCTGTGGGACAGTACTCAAGCGCCGAGTCTCGTAAGGTGCATCAGGTTACTGATCCTTTAAGCCATGGATAGAGGGAGTGGCATCACTATCATGGTTCTGGCAGATGATAGAAGCTGTTTCTAACTCTATAGTGCACAAAAAAGTAGACAGGAAGTAGCAGCAATGTTTCAAATTGATCAAAAGAATCCCCCATTGGAACTATAAATGTTGATATGTTTGGAGTTGATATCGGTTTATTCGGGTTTGATATTGCTTCTCTCCTATGCCACCAATTTCAAATCAACTCAATTGCTTCAATTTCTCTCAAGGCACTTACAGGAAGAACATAAGTCAATCAACAACAGGTTTGACCAAAAAGTTCCAAACCAAACCAGAGAAAATCTTTAGAGATGATACAACATATTAGTTTTAAGACATAACTAATCTGAATCCGAAGATTCCAAAAACTGAGGATTCAGCTCAGATACCATTTTTGACAGATTCTCCCTCATTTCTTGCAATTCTTCTCTCCCAAATCCCCATGCCCTAACCACATCTGATCCCATGGCTCCCCATTGGATCCCAAGTTTCTCTAAATTGCCCATTCTAGTTTCCAAAAATGGCAAAACTGCACTCGAAGATCTCCATCTTGTTGCTACTGGTATGGAGTGAACATCCAGTGAGCCTCTGAACAGAGAATCCGAGACCGGACTGCTCAGTATCTCACCTTTCCTCCCAACAAGGTTTCCAAATATAGAAGGAAACGGTAATGGTACCGGAAGAGGACAACGCGAGACCGAGAGATTGCAAATCAACGGCTTCCCTTTGGTTGTTGCCTGTTCGTAAGATGCATCAACCGCATTCTTCACTTCTGAAACCAATGCTTCTTTATCTTCTGATCTAAGGGCTCCAAGTATACACATTGACTCAACCGCTTGATCGTCTTCTACATCTTCAGTTACTTCCGGTGTTAGTGCTTGCAAACTCGTTAAAAGGGTATTCTCTAATTGCTTCCCTGCTAATGTAGGAGCTGGCATTGCAGAGTCTAAAATCGACACTATGTTTTGTCTACCACGACCCGTTAAAAGCTGTACAAGTGTATTAACATCCATAGAATTTGACACTTCACTTGAATCTGAGCTAGTGGGTTGCATTCGGAAAGGGATTGTGCTTGAATGTAGAGCAGCGGCGTACACTGCACTGCTTCGATAAGGTTTCTCATCACCGAGATTAAGAAATTTTGATGCTTTACCTTTAAAAGTCAACATAAATGATAAACAAGACACACCAAATCGTCAGTTGCATTGGGAGAAAATCAAAAGATTTTTGTTTCAGTGAGAGTTAGGATGTTGCGTACTTCCGGTCAAGGATGGTAAACCGATCGGAGTGAAGAGTTTACAAAAGGATGAGAGTCGAGAAAACGATATCGCATCGTGAAGCTTGTTTGTAACTGTCTTTTTCGGGCTCATCTGTGACATTGGGCTCCTTACGGAATATAGCAATACAGGTACGTTCGTGTACTCATCTGCCATGTTCTCAAGGAAATCCGCTGCTACAGCGGAAAATCCTCCCGAATCATCCACAAGGAACTTAATACCCTGTAATGATCATTAATGTAAACTATTTGTTAGAAAGTAAAACAAGTTGGAAAAGAAAAGAAAACAAAAAAAAAAGGGGTAAAAGCTTAACCTGAATATGATCACACTCTTCCACGAAAAAACGGAGTCTGTCACATATTTCCTCTCCACGTGAAGCCTCAGAGAAAACGTCTTTACCAATTCCATAATTGTTAAAATCCTGAGAGTCCATCCATAATCCGTTCAATTCGTATAAACTTTGAGGATGATAATGGGATTTGGAGAAGTCAGTCCAACATTCAACTCCCTCATCTAAGCATCCAACAATATCTTTGTCCTCAATCTCTTTCGCCTTTTCTTTACCCACTTTCTGTTCTTCCTCATACAAACTTTGCAGAAACAAGTTCCTCTTTCGAGGTTCAGATCTCTGAGTATCAACATCTCCAAACCTACAAAGACACATAACTGATATTCAACTAATGCGAAACTAGAAATTCTATCATATCACCCTAGTGAAAGAACAAGCTTTTTACTCAAAATTTATATGCACTAAGACTAAATTTATATGCAATTCTGACCAGGTTGTTGAAGAATCTGATCTTGATGAAGAACCCTCGTTGTAGAGGGTACCGCGTGAGCTCATGGTGCCTAGTGACCCTGACAGAAGAAACATATATCCACCATCTATATATCAAATCCAGAATCTTGCTTGTTCTAAGTTCATTGGAGTTCAATAAGAAACTAAGAAAACCAAATTCGAATGAACACATGCCAATCAAGCTAAGATTATTTACCTTTCAAGTTGACTGAAACAAGACGAGGAGTGTATGTAGCAACCCCCTGTATAAAGTTCCACCACACAAACATTTAGATTTACAAAACAAGTGAGATTGATCAAAGTCAACGAAATCTTAATCATCTCTCACCTGCAGGGTCTCACCGGAGCGGTAGAGAACGTCCATGTCGAGATTATGGCTTCTAAAGATTGGATCGCTTTCTGGGTCACTAGCCAATCCGAGCAATTCATCCTACATTTCAAGTCAAAGTCCTCAACTTTAGCAAACCCAACGATTAATAGCCAAAAAGACAAACACTTTTGTAATGAAAAACAGAGACAAACAAAACCCAGAATCCATTTTAAACTGAATCGGAGCAGAGACCTGGAAATTCCAAAAGTGAGAGCCGACGAAGTTTGCGAATTCTCCAACTTGAATAGTCACAATTTCTCTCATGGTTCTTTAATTGGAGAGTAGAAAGAAACTAACAAGAGGTCGGTTCTTAGCTCACGGCGTAAGAGCTCCGGTGATTGCTTAAACCCTTAAAGGTCGTCGAGCCTTGGATTCGAAAAGTGGTTTTGTCAATGACAAAAAACAAATGTGAATTTTGATGAAGACGGTGATGTGGCCCGTGAGGCCCAGACCTTAAAACCAAAGATAACCGGGTGGCTAAACCGGGTGGGGTTAGAACCTAATCAATTTGAACAAAATATTCGATTGACAAGAAGCTTTTCTAATTTCCACTAAACATGTAAATCTCGTGGAATTAATAAAACTACATCAAATCAGTGGAGTTGATTTTTATATATACATATCAATTTCCTTCAATAGTGAAAATTGTTATCTTGTCGTTTTAAGACGAAAAATCTTATCTTTTCGTACGATTTTATGCAATAAAAAATTCTTATTTTTATTCTCAGATAGATTAGGTTAGATTGAAGAAAACGATGTCTTATAGAGAAAAGACAAAGATTGTGATTTTCTTCATCCTACTTTTAGCTTCCATTTACCGAGTTGGTGAAACTAATCAAATGACTCCTTCATTCACATGATTGAGAGAGACTGTAATAAGTAAAAAAACAAAATCTTTGATATTTGAGTTTACCTTTCTTATGAAGTAACAAAAAAACAAAAACACAAACCAGAGGATTTTGATCACTCTCTTCTATCTATTTCCTCTTGCAAAAAAAAAAAAACCTCTTCCTTATTTCAACTCTCATGTTTACATCTACAAAAACTCCCGAACAAACTCAAGTTTTGAGCATATATAACATAAGTTGGTATGATTATATCATTCACTAGGCCGAATTTCAAAGCTCAAGATCCAACACTTGTCTCTTCTTCTTTGTTTCATCATTTCTACAGCTACTACGTCCATCAGATTTCTCCTCCTCTTCTTCATCCTCCTCCTCATCTTCCTCTGAGCTATGACCAACATTACTACTGAACAACCCTCTTGCAACAAGTGGGCTTTGTGGCGAATCCGACCTCGACAAACTTATTAAGCTCTGTGATTCTCTCTCTGACAACACACCGGGCTGATCCGACGATGACAAAGTCTTTGTCGGATGCAGCGGATGCTTACGGATATGCATTCTATATTTCTGCAATACAATTTCATTTCACCTCACTGTCAAAACCATTCATTCATTCATTCACACATCAAAGTTTCTAATGGTTAAAAAAGATGAGAACTTTTACTTGTAAATGGCTCTTGACTTCATCATTGGTTAAACCATCAACTTTCATCAAATCTCTAATCTGCTTTGGTGTAGCCACTGTCTCACCACAACAACAACAACAACACAACACAATCTCAATATAATCAATCAATCAAAATTTATGCAAAGTTGGTTCCTTTATTATGGTTAAGGACTAACCTTGTGGCCCTCCAAGCCTGTGAAGAGCATCAACGAATTTACGGTGAAGTTCCTGTGACCATCTCCTTCTCTGCTCTTTCTTCTGAATGTGATGACTCTGTGAAGAAGGTTTGTTGAACTGATGATGATGATGATGATTCTGCTCAATTCTGCTACAATCCATCATCATGTCTGATGTTGGAGTCATGAGAGACAGAGGAGCTGGTGGTGGAGGAGGTGGAGGACGGTTAAATGGCAGAAATGCCCCTCCTTGGTTACATGTCTGAAATGGGTTCTGACTCACACACCGATCTTCTTCTTCGTTTGTCTGTCAAAACATGATCATAAGATCAATTCACACAACATAAAAAAAAAAGGGTTTGATTTTTGATTTTGAATTGTGAATTCTAATTACCGATTGCAATTGAGAATTAGGGTTCGAGATCCATAACTGGGCAGAGCTCATCCAGCTCTTCTTATCAGTTTCCGGTTTTGCCCCTTCACGTTCATCGAATTTCCCATTTGATGCCATCACTGATGACCCTTTTCTAGCCTCTTCATTCAACGCCTCAATCGCTACACAGAGAAAAACAATTTCTTTAACAAAAACACGAATCGATTTGAGAAGATTAAAAAAAAAAAAGGAGAGATTTTTAAGATTACCTTCGTTCAATAAGAGCATGCATAAAGGGAGTTCTCTTTTAAAAGCATCGATTTTTTTTCTCTCTTCCTCTAATTTCCCGACATAACCATCGATTTCAGACAGTTTCGAATGATGGTCTTTGATCCTCGACACTTGATCGAGAAATTGAGATAAGGGTTTTGGTAAAGAGTAGATAGACAAATTCAGATTAAGACCCATCCTTTGATCTGTTTCTGTTTGAACCATTCGGATAAACGGACAAGATAAAGACAAAGAGAAGCAGCTTAAAGACGTATATATAGAAGAAGAACAAGAAGCTGAAGAAGAAATGAGAAAAAGGGATTAGGGAAGAAGATGAAGGACGCGGTGAATCGTAGCCGCTGTAAATAAGTGGAGACTTTGAGGGTGTTTTTGTAAATTACAAAATTAGATTTATCTTTAAATGGAACAAAGAATCTTTTTGTGATGCCCGTACACACGCGGCGAATCGTTACACTCACTTGTATATTTATTCTCCTTTTTTTTCTTTAAGGATTTTTTTCCTTTTAATTCGGCTATTAATAATATTACAGTTTTCAGTTTTGGGAAACTTGTTATTTTTTTTTGTTTTAGTGCTTCCCATTCAAGATTCTCATATTCCTGTTATCCTGTATTTAATATTCTTCCAAATTATAAAAAAATAAGAGGATTGTGAAGAATCTATAATATTGTACAAACACTATTTTCTGCATAAGTAGTGTGGTTTCAGCCTGTGCAAATTCCACTAAATGTTTTGTTTTGGATAATTTAAAAGGAATCTGTTGCAAGACTAAAAATAAAAAAAGGGAAAATAAACCAGATAACACTTTTAAATCAGGAATTAACAAAATAAAATTATAACTAAGAAAGATCAAATTTATTAGTATAAAAAATAACAAATTTTGTACTTTTGAAATCAAATAAGATTTTATAGTAGCTTATAGTATAATACATAAAATTTTATTTCCTTACTTTAACAATTACAATATCATTCGTTAAATCTTTTTAGTTTCGCTTATTTAGTAGTGTAAAAGCCAAATGGAAAGATAACATTTGTTAGTTTTGGCTATTTTCTTATAAAAGTTGCAAACATATTCTATAAAAAAAACATCTTACTTACTGTCTATTTTGATTTAAAGAACAAGAAAATAATTTAAAAAGATGTTACAAGTCAAATTAAAAGTAGATAAATTACATTTTTGGGTAAAAAAATTTACGTCTAAAATAAAGAAAATTTAGACTACGACAAATATTGACTTTTTATAACCGAAATGTTATGAACTTGAAAGTTATAAATTTATAGTCAACAATTCAACATGATATGAGATTAAATATTGATAGTATAAAAAGGTATGTACCACGCAAATTGAAATTGAGTATGAATAAAACATTTTAAAAACAATCATCGGGTATAGTTCTAAACATTGATATGTCATCATTTATATACAAACCCGCTTAATACATGTTTAAAATCACATCGTCAAAAAGAACTTCGCAAGACCAACAATTCCGGTACGGACCATACTGACATACTGTGTAGTGTGTATGGCCTATGGATACATCATACATGTATTTGTATTTGTATCTCAAACACATAGCTATACTCAAATCTCGGTTTCATGGGATAGAACCCTCAACACACTCGTTTAACACGATCAAACATTCTAACTAAACAATTGGGTTTAACTAAACGATTTTCTTAGAAATAATTAATCTTTAGTAGTATAGGATATATTCGGAAAAACGGTCTATTTCCCCACGAGAAGTATGCTTATCACGCCAGATAGAGCCCGTTCTTTGACCTCGGTCTATATGTCCCCAAAAAATAGTTTTCAACTTATATCCCCATAAATTCATAGGTTGAATCCTATTTCTCCCTAAAATAAAAGTTTTCATCTTATTTACACACAAACATTGGTTTTGTTTGGTTTACTGACTGCTTACCAAACTAACGAAAATACTTAACCGGATTAAACCTAATCTAAACCAATTCTGATCCAATTACAACTAATTGAACCCGACCCAAGCAAACCCACCCAACCCAACATCCTTCTTCACCCGTAACATACCAATTCTTCTTCTTTCTCTCCCGTAATCTCTCTATGTTCATCTTCTAGCTTCACTCGCTCTCTTCTCCATAGCTTAACCTTCCTTCAAAAGCTGTACTTATGAAACCTAATTTATTTCTCTCCACTTCCATGGATTTTCTTAGATCGGCGAATCCTATTTCCAGTTTTTTTTAATGTATTTAAATCCTTTAGATCTGAAATTTTTGCTTTGTGTTCACCATTTCTCTACAAAATTGATGGATCTATTCTCTAAATTTTGATTACCAAACGTTTCAGTTGGTGAAAGAGATCAAACCACCGTTATTTTATAAATCGATTTATCTGGGTTAGAAATCGATCTGAAATCGAATCATAGACACAAATATATGACCGTAATTAACAAATTGAATCAACCCAAAGGTAGATCTTGATGATTCAAATCAAAATCTAAAGAAAATTCTCTACTTTTAAAACAATCAAGACCAAATTCAATCGAATTAAAACAACGAGAGCATATCCATCACCACCATCTGACCTGTAATCAAATTCGATTCTTCTAGAATCATTGCTAAACTCATTTTTCTTTCCCATGGTATAAGTTTCTCTAACGATCTGATCTTGTTTGAGATAATCTTACGTTTGTTGAGACCGCCGTCGTTTGTGTGGGACGAAGAAGCCGTCGGAGATCCGGAGGTTGTTGAAGAAGAAGACGAGTGAAGAAGATGGAGATTCAGCGGTCACGGCGGGGACGCTAATTGAGGTTTTCTCTGGTTTACTGAATATAGAAGAGCTGGTTCTTGACGTAGGGAAGGATGTGAAGTGAAGCATAGTGGCCATGGCGTAGCTTTATAGACATAGAATTCTAAATGCAAGAAGCTAAGAACATTGAAGCTAGGACAGTTCCAAGGTGTTTGCTCTACTACAGAATAGAGGAGGTTCGACGGCGTGGCTCTATGTGGAGGATTGCAGTCGTTGTCGATTAAGAATTCCGGCGAGGATGTTGTAAGTTGATTACCATCGAATTTGATTACCATCGAATTTGATTATTGGTTAATTACAATGGATTTCTCCAATGAGCTTTTGTAATTTTGATATCAAATTTATCAAAATCGTTTGGTTGTTTGAAGAATCGGGTGAAGAAGAAGATGATATCGGACCATTTACGGGTGGGTCATATTTTAATTCAGTTTAGAATCAAATTTTAGTGGTTTGGTATTCGGTTTACTTTGGGTTTGAAGCGCTAACCGATATAACCCAGATTCGGGGACATTTAGCTAATAGAACTTTCGATTCGGAGGGAAATAGGAATAGAACTTTTATTTCATGGAGATATGGACCGAGGTCAAAGAATGTGCTCTATCTGGTATGATACGATACTTCTCGTGGGGAAATAGACCGTTTTTCCGATATATTCGCTTTAGTTTGTCTTATCGAATAGACAATTATATTAAACTTTGCTAACACAAATTAATTACTAGCTGTATTAGAAATCGACACATATCGGTGTATATATGTGATTTTAAAAAAATGAAGTGGTCAAAAGATCTCTTTATCTTTTTTTACCACACGTCCACACGCAACGTCCATTTACGTTCACAGTGAGCTAAGTTTAAAGAAATCAAGTAACTATTGTTTGTTTGTTTTTTTTTTTTTATAACTCAGGTGTCCGGTCCCACCGAAGTTGGACAATTAGCGTCGTGTCCAAACGGAGCTGACGTGGTCTTGGAAGCCTGCAGCCACCATGTGAATTCCGCAGTAGTCAGGAATCGAACTTAGGTGGTGGTACCCCCAGCTGGAGGCCTTTTACTACTAGAAAACAACTCATGGTTTGTGTTTAAACTTTATAGCCCTTTTAATGGTTTTAGTTGCTTATCGTGATCGTATTATGAAAAAGTTAAAAAGAAATCAAGAAACTAGGTTGAATTCTTATGTAGCACCATTAGTTCTTGCATAATTATTTCGATATTCATCCATGTTTTTACTAATCAGAACTTACATCGTTAAAACTGAGTTACATCTCAATATTATTCTATGAATAATATTAAAAAAAAAAATCAAGAACACTAGCAATGAGCAAAAAGGATCTTTCGCATAATCCAATATTGTAAAAGATCTATAACGCAAAGCAACTTTATTCCACGCTTTTTCCTGCTAGCCAAATACAAATTTCTTTCAATTTTATAATAGCATTCAATTTTCCGAAATATTTTGATTCCTAACAAAAAATACTAGTATTCCAAAACACGGGAAAACGGCCTTTTTTCAACCTCAACTATTTGTAGGCGGGTTTTTCCAACCCAAACTATTACCCCTTGTCGATTTCAATCCAAACCCAAAATTAATTTAAAATCGAAACCTGAACTAATGCAAATGAGCCGATTTCAACACGACGCAGAACGGTGTTAGTTCGGAAGTTAACGGTTACTCAACCTTGGGTAATTCTCTCTCTACAACATTCATCAAACTTTGAAAATAAAATCAAATAACTTTGAGAACTGTTAACTTCCGAACTAACATTGTTTCACGTCGTGTTGAAATCGACTCATTTACATTTGTTTAAGTTTTGATTTTGTATTATTTTTGGGTTCGGGTTGAAATCGACTGAGGATCATAGTTTGGGTTGGAAAAACCCGCCAGCAAATAGTTGAGGTTGAAAAATGCCGTTTTCCCTCCAAAACACCGTAGCATGTAAAATGTCTTAAGACCTATAAACAATAAAGACCACAAGGAATCTAACGGACGGACCAAAAGAAACGGCTCACTGTAAGCCAACTAAACCATGACACGTGTCCAATTAATACAGATTTTTTTCATGAGAATCGTTTTTTTCTTTGAAAGAGGAACTGAAACGTCTCGAGTTTGTAATAAGTACGTCGAGATTTTGATACCGTTGATTGATTAGATTCTCCATCGTGTGGGTTCACGACACGTGTCCCGAACCTTTTTTGAATTATTGTTCTTACAAAAGTTGTAACAAACGATGGCTTTTGCTCTGTCTATCTAATTTAAAGATAAGGTTCTTCGTTTCTATCTGCCAGAATCTAATGATATCTTTGGTTGATATAAGTAAGAATCCGATGGCTTGATTGTTAACTTCGTTTCAGTCATATAATTTTAAAATATTTGTCATCAATAATTGAATCTTATATAGTTCAACTCTTGCTTGAAAAATAGACACTTATTTTAAAATAGAAAGATTTTATATATGGATTACGAACTAAAACTCTTTGATCAACTTAAAAAAAACAATCAAATTGGTGAATGATTACCTATATATATTCTAGTCGAATAAATGTATCTAAAGATATTTATTGGTAATTGGCAAACAATGGATGTTTATAGTTTCAAAGATTCTTTCATTCTCTACAACTAAAAAGTTGAATGTTTGGA